TTGCTTTCTATTTACACACTTAATCTATGTTATTTTACTAGGGCCCCGTCACTTATCAATGAACTGTTCTCCTTAGCGGTCCTAGAATGAAACCTACAAAAACGATTCAGCACTTTTGTTCACAAAACTCAAAAATAAAGTTCACTACAATTTAGTGTGAGTGATTTTAGCCACTTTGAGCCAACATAGATTCAGATATGAATCCGGTTAGTACAATGAAATTATAGATGGGAGAAAGAATATTCATAGGCTTTGATGTTGGAGTGTACTCCCCTTTTTTTAAGAATCAACTGGTCCATTTTGCACTGTCAAGTACATATACGTGTGTGCTCAGCTCTGATGAAATTAAACAACGCCCTATTTTTGCTGGCACTTGAAATCAGTAAACCAGACAGACACAGTGAGCCAACAGCCACACAGCCATTAGACGGACTTGTAGAGAAATTTCCTGCTGGAATATTTTCTAATACATGCACCGGTACTTTGAGCATTACACCATTTTAAACAGCATTTTCAAGATAGTAAAAGCAACAAATTATGGCAAGTAACGATGGAAAGAGAGCTCACATCTATGGTGTTGTACTCCATGACAAATCTTACGTTGTTAAGCAAGATGGCACTGAATGGAAGTTTTGCAAGATTGGGCTTACCCAAGTGGACATAGCGAAAGGAATCGGCAACCGAATGGAGGTTGTGGAGAGAGAAGTACGTAAGAAATTAGATACATCAAAGGTATCTATCCTATTCGTTGTGCCGATTCATGAGCCAAATGACCTCGCACCACGGCAAGTGGAAAAAAAAGTACGGGCTGCATTTGGATACAAAGTACACAAGGATAAAGTGAAAGACTTTCCTGTGCGAACTGAATGGGTCATTACCACTCAACGTTTCATCTACGACTGCAAACATGCAATCTCGGCCATGAACAAAAAACCTGGATCTGCAAACACTAAAGTGTTTGAAACCTGTAACTTTAACCAGGAAATGAATCCACTGCCAGATGAACTGAAACACTTCTGCCTCCCAGGCACTGGTGGTGCAGCCACAAAGGCAACACAAGAACTCGAGGTTGACTTCTGCAAGTTGCAGCTGGATGACAAATAAGAGGCAAGAAGCCAGGCAAGAGGTGTAAGCACTAAAGATGGAGGGAAGATGAGACTGTTACTGAACTACATTTAGTATGAAACCTTGCATGGGGCAGAAGCAAGCTGTTCATGTTGTCAATTGTTACTGTAGATAAAGAGTCTAGGAGCTAATCCCATTCAATTCATGTAGCGTAGTAAAATATCTCAGTGAAAACAAAAAAGGTAAACTGACTGGGTGAATGCACAATAATTGTAAAAATTGAAAAAAAGAAATTAGTGTATGTATTCATAACACCGAACTTCCGGTTTAATGACGTCACAGTATTTGGAAGCAAATGGTGAACATTGTAATGGTATCATTATTTAGGCTAAGATATAGACATGGATCAAATGATAGAGTTAAATATTAAATATGATCCATGGCACATTCTCATAGAAATAACTTTCTGTCTGATGACGTCATGAATTTGAAACCTTGCCAACAAAAAAAATGATAATAACTAGAGATTCGTGTTTGTTGTTACAAACAACTATTTTATGAAACACTGTCCAGTTAAGTTATGAATATTTTTATGTAAGAACAAAGGATCACGAAATTAAATCCTTTTCAGGACAATCAATTATTTTGCTTTAAAAATGCATCTTTAACGGCGTGATAAATTTCAGTAAACATTCTATATACACATACAAGTTATTTCTGGCTTGATAACGTAATTAGTCAAAAACGGGAAGTGAATACTGATTTAGTTTGGGGTGGATGTTCATTGTAAAGTTAGATAACGTATGAAAATTTGGAACATATTAGTGTATGTATTCATAACACCGAACTTCCGGTTTGATGACGTCACAGTATTTGAAAGCAAATGGTGAACATTGTAATGGTATCGTTATTTAGGCTAAGATATAGGCCTACAACATGGATCAAATGATAGAATTAAAGATTAAATATGATCCTTGGCACATTCTCATAGAAATAACTTCCGGTCTGATGACGTCATGAATTTGTAACCTTGCCAAGTTATCTGTGGTTAATCAAAGAATATCAAGGGGCGATTTGGTAAAATGTAAACATATGGTTTTAAAATTAAAGAAAAGAAACACTATTGTATGTACCGAGTCTCACTCTTAAATAGTTATCAACTGTCAGTTTTCAGATTTTAATCTGATTTCACTTTTCAATTCTTACTTCTTACTCAAAACAGAGCTTAAGACACAGCTATTTACACAAGCATACTGTGTCTAACTTGGGTTTTTTTGGAATGGATTTCAGTTTTCGCAATGTTAATCATTGTACGTATTGCTGCAGCGCCATGAGTAGAATGTGCGCTTTATATGTCTATATATTATTACAATAATCTTAGTTCTTAGGTTTTTATTTCATGAATGTTAACATAACAATGATAAAGAGAAAATAGTACAAGAAAAAAAAATACATATCTTACTCAATTGACAGTCAATTTGTAAATTCGTAATATGTATCAGGTTTTACTTTTCATGAATATATGCCGGACAAAAAAAATCAAAATTTTTAAAAAAAAAATCAAAAAAAAAAAAAAAAAAAATTTTATGATCGGAAAAAGAGCGAAAACCCCTAACACTGTAAAAGCATGCAGCAGAAAGTGGGCCTGGATTTTATTTTTAAAAAAAATTATTTCATTTACAAGTAAAACAAATGCAACACGGTAGTCAGCATAAGATGTCTTTCAAAAAGCATTCATTACGCCAAGTTTACCTTTTTTATGAAATCTTTGCCATTATAGTCAAACCCTGATAACAACAGTCTCATCCACCCTGTCTGGTGGCTTTCTCCTGGAGACGATCAGAGCATGCAGATCGGAACGTCGAGTTTCACAACCAAACGGTTCTTTTCAGAACCACACATCTTCTCAAAAGAGATTCTTCCATATATGCTGTTACCATCACAAACCCTCACTACTTTAAATTTACGTTTGTACAACTGTTTACCATATGACATTTGGTATCCATACTGCAGCAAGATACTATTGAAAGAGGCCTAATTTTAACAAAGATTCTCTTTTCTCCAGACACAATTATTTCTCATGTGCTGCATAATTTTGAGAAAAAAAAAAGAATGATCATTGGTCTTTAATGTGGCTTTTCCAAGTCAAACATGCATCTATAAGCCAGAATCTTCATTAGACCATTCCAGAGATACAATAGCTTTTATTTTTAATCAAGAATGCCCCATTTGTGCTGTTTTAATGTTAATTAACACTTGAATTTTAGTTGTCTGTTCAGCAATAAATCATGTATCAGCAAAATAATAAATTGAATGCTAAAGTTCTTAAATGTGTTCATCCTCAAATTGCCTTAAAATGCAGGAGAAAACATCCGTAGGTTTCAACAATTCATGGGGACATGCCCCCCCTCCCCAATTCCCCCCCCCCCCCCCCCAGCAGGGTGTGAAAACTAGATCTGCCCTTGTGGAACCAGGTATGGGCGTCGCCAGGATTTTTTCCAGAGGGCGGCAACACACATTTTGCCCCAAAAGTCCTGTACTTTTCCAGCATGTTCTCAATTTATCAGTTTTTCGAGGGTGGGCAGGGGGACATTTCTAGCCTCATGCAGTGTCATCATTCCTTCCAAGACATCAAAACTAAAGCCTTTCATTGTTTCGGCATTTTTCACGAAAGTTTTAAAATTATAAGAACACAATACATGTATTATATTTCGTTCTATACGAGTGAATTTTATTCTCAGTTGTCATTTCAAATATAAGCCTGGGAAGGAGTTTTAGAAAGTTTAAAGAAAAAAATATGCTTGGGGCGGGAAAGTTGGCTAGGGGCCAGTTGGCCACAGGGCGAGTTGACAAGGAAGCGAGTTGGTCGTTCGGCGAGTTGGTCATGGAGCAAGTTGGAAACCACAAACAGGGAAATGAGCAACAAAACTTTCATGCCTGATAATAACAAAACCACTTTGACATCAGCCAAGCAAACTGTAATCCTTACTAGCAGTCCTTCTGTTTTGAGGTGAGCGATCGCACCCCACGCCATCACACGCCTTAAAGCTTCCCGAGAAGTGTGAATAATTGCACGCCTGAACTTCCCTGGACCGCAGAATCACACACCTAGAAAAACCAGAAGCTAGAAAAATCCAGGTGTACCTTTTTCCACAGGCCTGTGATTTTCAAATCAAAAGGACTGCTCCTACTGATATTAGTTTATCCATTTGTGCTCACTCTACCATCGACATAATATGTTTTAAACAGGTCCCAACGGCAAATGAGTGTGGAGAAACTCCATGCATCCTCTCAACAAAACTGGGACGAAATACTCGGGAAACTTTGGACAAGGAAGAACAGAAACAAGTTAACTGCGGCACTGAAAGAAAGCAGGCAACACCCCATTCAAACAATTCCTGTTGCCGAAATAGATAGAGGCCATCTTTATACAACGTTGTTCTCAACTTTCCCTTTGCCTTTGCGGGAGATGGCAGAGACTGGAAATTTGGCCACATTGGATGGATTCAGGTTGGCATGGCAACAGGAACAGGCAACAAAAATGGAGGACATCTGAGATGAAATCAATTGCAAATATGACAGCGAAAAGGCTGCCGATACGATGTGTTATTTGTGTTGCCTACTTCTCCGATGGTCACTGCGCAAATTTGCAGGCAGAAAAACGTATACGAGCCTCGATTGGACACAAGTACATGTATGCCATGGAAAACAGTCATTGTCCTGCACAAAAAAGCTCCCATGGTGGTCACAAATCTACAGTTCATGCACAGAGCCCAGTACTTGTACCAAATGCAATTTCCCAGAAGTTCACTGGAAAGTTCCTATGTGAGTCAGCAGTTATTTATATCACTGTCCAGTTTTTGTTTTAAAATCTCCTTGACGGCAAAAGGAAGTGCATGTATACACAATAAAAGGAAGTGCAAAAAGGTGTACGTGAGTTCATAAGCGTATACGGTGTCCAGCAAAGCAGACGACAGAGAATCAAACGCAAAGTGAGTACAAAATACAAATACTTAGATTTTCACTTCAGAACTAAAAGAGAATAGAAAGATTTGCCAGTAACCGTGGTGACCAGCAACCTTCATTTTGGAGCTACATGCAAGGCCCAGCAGATTCACCTAATTTGTGACAGTGTGTCTGACGGTCAAGAATATTTCAGAAAGTCAGTTGGACAGCTTTTGAATGGATGACCAGAACAGTATCCTGTTACATGTAACTTCCAATTAAAAAGACGCTGCAACAACAAACACTGTTTTCAAGTTAAGAACTTCAAAGTGTGAGCAATGTGTAATTCTTGACAAGTTATGCAATGATGGAGAATTTCTCAACAATTTGTCTAGCTTTGTTTTCTTCAGACGACAACCTTCGATCATGAATGCTACAGTTGAAGTTGTTTTGACAAATCTCTCAATTGGTGAGAAGATCACCTTTGGCATCATCGCAGCACTGGGCATTGTGGGTAACAGCCTGGTGGTGTACGTGCTGACGCACATGGTCAAGTCTCGCAAGGGTAACGTTAACATTCTGATCATCAACCAATCTTTGGTGGACCTGGCTACCTCCGTACTCTTGATTCTCTGCTTCCTGACCCCCGAGCCTCCGTTACCGTCCTCCCCTACCGCCGCCCGATTCCTCTGCTCCGTCTGGAACTCTAAGTACCTCTTCTGGGCAACCATCATCTCTTCCACCTTCAACCTCGTCTGTTTGACTCTAGAGCGCTACTTCGCCATCGTCTACCCCTTCAAGTATCGGAGCTGCACCCTGTTCACCTGGCCCAAGTCTCTCGTTCTTGCCATAGTCCCGGTACTGGTTGGTTACTCCTACCAAGCTTACTTCCCCGCTATGCACGTCGTGGAGGACGGCAAATGTGTCGTGAATGAGTTTTCCAGCCGAGCAGCTCAAATCGTCTACGCTGTAATCATCCTCCTTGTAACCTACCTCTTGCCACTCGGCGTCATGACGTTTGCTTACATCAGGATCTACAAAGCCCTGAGGACCGAGTCGATCGGCAACATCACCGGCGAGAGTTGCCAGTCAATGAACGCCATGGGCAACCAGCGTCACAACCCCAACGACATCAACGAGAAGGCTCTACGCAACATTGTCAAGACCCTGATCCTTGTCTACGTGGTCTTTGGTCTCTGCTGGGCTCCCAACGAAGTCTTCTACTTTTATTTCAACGTGAGCGGCAATCAGCACATCAACGAAACCGTCTACAACATCACCATCTGTCTGGCCTTCTTCAACATGTGCGCTAATCCCTTTATCTACGCGTTCAAGTACCGACGGTTTAGGGAGGGGCTTCAGCGCGCCATGCCGCGTCTTGGACGACTGCTTTGTGTAACTGACACAAGCTTACTCCAAGAAGAAAATTCTCCTCAGTTATCAACATCCGTTGTGTAAGATAGTCTGATGGATTCAAAACTAAGGACAGTGTCAGGATACTATGTTGTGACCTGTTATTGCAAGACCAGTTTTAAGTCTGACTCATTAAGAAATGAGATATTTGTACTGTCATTGACTTCTGATGACGAACAGAGCACACTTTTTGAAAACTGGCTGTTCTCAGAATTAACCACACAACTCACAAAGAGATATCATTCACAAGGCGTTACCGCAAACCTCTCATTCATTGTTCAGAGATATTTGTAGTAGTTGTAGTAGAATTCTGAAAAACAAGAGCATTCCAATGGTACATGGATAACATATAAATGTACTGGGTTCAGTAAAACTAATTTTTTTTAAAGAAAATTCATGAAGTTGTTTGCAGTGTATATTCAGTAAACTCATAAGATGAGAAGAAAATAGTGTATATGAACACTAAACTCCTACGATGAGACGAAAATAGGCTTTAAAGATATTCGAAAACAAAAAAAACACCCGTGACCCATTTGAATTTTGGCTTTGCCCAATTGTACAGCAAAATTAACCTCAAGCTCAAAAGGTGGTGATAGGTCTACAAACCTTCTTTGCAAATCTTGTTTGTCCACTAACATGAGATACAAATGGACGCGGAATGCGCAAAATCTGAGACAAACGAAACTTAACGTACAAAATTTTTTACAGGGTTGTCTAAGGGGCGTGGCTATTAACTCGCAAACGGCGATAGGTCAATTCTCAGCACGGATGCACATGGACCACGTTGCGCGAATAATACATTACATGTACTTCCACACACTCAAAACAGAAGAGAGATGGTCGTTAGAAGTCAAGGATCATTTGAATGTCAGCCGCAAACCATGGGCGTCGCCAGGATGGACCCCAGCAAAGCCAAAAAAGAAAAAAAAGAAGACGAGACGCAAGTCATTTTGCTGTTAATTTAATTTACATTTGACAACATGGGCATCCGCATGGGTGTCAATAGGGGTGGGGTGGGCAAATGTCCCCCGCCCACCCTCGAAAAAATGTTATATTGAGAATATGCTAGAGAAATTTTGGAAATAATGTGCTTTGCCCCCCTCTACAAAAAATCCTGGCGACACCCATGCCGCACACATATGTTCCCTAGATTATAAATTCGCCTGGCCAAATATAATTTTGTGCCCAGATTTGACAAGCAGGGTGTAGAGAGAGTCCAGGCCGTTTTTAAGGACACAGGAACAACAGTAAACCAAGAGGTTAACCTTGTCGTGTTACTTCATTAAACTGATTAATAAAATAGAAATAATTTGTTTGTGTTCATGGATTGAAGGTCAGTTTGTGAGATCGTTAAAACAGACTATTTTTGCATGGATCTCTGCATACCTTTATATGCAGTGTTTCTAATTGGGAAACCATTTACACGTATTTAAGTATTAGACACAGGCTGATTGGTTATGACACGTGGTTTGTGTAAGAAGGTGTATCCTGATAAAACAAATTCTCTGTACATCTGTAAATTGCAAAAACACACAAGTACGGTAGGCTATGTTAATCATTTACATATGTACATGTACATGCATGCATAAAACATTTGCATAGTAAAAGTGAAACAGACTGCTCACTTCATCATGTGTACAATGTATACACACACGTACATACACAAAATGCGTACGTGACCAAATACACGTACTTGGACTTTGGACTCCCATGCATACCAATTTTGATTTTCTCATCATAATGAGTGTCTCATTTTGTTAATGATATGTGACAGACCACATGTACACAGTCTATTGCTGGTAAAATACTTGCAGCAAATATGCAGGTACTGGTAAAGTCAAGTCTGCAAAGAACAAGTCCCCTGAACAAAAAAACACCTGTTACCATTTGCATAAATTTGGCTTTGCCCAATTGTATGTCAGCAAAATTAACGTCAAGCTCAAAAGGTGGTGATAGGTCACATAATTATTATATATCAGCATTTTTTAACAAAATGAATATCTACAAATCTTCTTTGCTGGGACGCGGAATGCGCAAAATCTGAGACAAACGAAACTTAACGTACAAAATTTTTTACAGGGTTGTCTAAGGGGCGTGGCTATTAACTCGCAAAGAACAAGTCCCCTGAATTATGATAATCATTTGGTGTCAAATTGTCAACACATTCATTATAATGTATGTCTCATATTGTTTATGATATTTCACGAAGTGACAAAAAGCTCAATACCCTGCACAAAGGTCATCCCGAGATAATCACATTTGGAGTTAATCCTTTTTTCAAAACACATTTTCGACTAGTTTGTAGTTACAGATTTGGGAAATTTTGGCATTGTCAAGTAACGTATGCTTTGTTCTTTGCTAATTCAAAGTTGTTTATTAGAAGTCTCTCTTAATAAAACAGTAATTCATTGATAAAAGATATTTTGCACTTCGTGAACAGCAATACGCACAGGCCTTTATTATTTTTCCTACTTTGTACACACTCTTTGTCACTTCGTGAAAACCAAAAAACGTTGTGAGGAATTGTTACATTTACGCGTCATACGTCAGCGCAGCGCACGCTCGTCTCTTCTTTATCAACATCGTTCCGGGCGCGCGCCCGCTCCGATCCTAACGCGTGTAGAGAAATGCATAATCCCTCTGGCCCTGCTAACGAGGTGACATTTTGTCACTTCGTGAAAACAGAAAAACACTGAGTTCAGGCTTTTTGTCAAATGTATGTTTACGATATTTACAAAGTAAACAATATTTGGTTTCGAAACTTGGTCAAATTGTTCTTTTTGTTAAAAGCAATAAAATGGCCAGCAAAACTTGACATTCAAAAATATATCGATTTTCCAAGTTTTTGTCATTTCGTGAAAACACCGACGATATGTGACAGATCACACACATCCTCCTGCTGGTAAAATAATTTATGCACATAATATACAGCTAACATGGAGTCTGCAATAAATGTAGTCCTAATTATGATAACCACTTCACCAGCAGATGGCTCCCATGTGTTTGAAGCAGCTACACTTCACATGCATGGGGATACATTGCCTTGTTTAAAGGGCTTGTTACGAAAATGTTACATGAGTAACCGATTTTGTGTGTCTTATTTATCATACATAACACATTTTTCTGGATGTCATCTTTGGTGCTTAGTTAGGTCTAGGTCTACTCTATCTACCATGGGGATAACAGTTATTAAACCTTTTCAGTAAGGTAATTACTGCCCAAGGAAACTCAAAAGTACACCAAAAATGTAACGTGAGTAACCGTGGAATTGCCCATCAGGAAACTAACTGTAGTAGTAGGTCTGATTTCCACAAAGGAAATCGGGTTCCCCAGCTGTCAAGGACGATACTACCATGTGTGACGAAAATAAAAGACACTTGATCAGACCATGTTTTGTGCACATTTTCACACAGTAAGATTTACCTTGATAAAGCGAACTTATATGGTAACAAATACCCTGTGAAATAATTCCACCTGAAATAGTCTTGTCAGAAAACAAACATTGAAGGTGGTTTCAAAACCGGAATGTACCATTTTGAGCTTTAAAACATGTTTCTCAAGTAATTATAGTCAGACAGTTATTTAAAGTAGTGATAGTCGGAAAGATTGTTAAAAAGTAGATTGTGAACGTCCACACTACTATACCATTAAATATTATGGTTACGTAATAATCACGTGAATGAATTTCGGAATACAATATTGTAGTCCTCAAAAGGTGAGCAATTGGATTTGAGCACATTCCATTTACACATATATGTTTCAGTTCAAAAGTTGCACATGCGCTACTATCATCATGTGTGTACAACTAGCATGGAACCAGGTATCACAGTCAAGTGTCATTCCATGCAGCACCAGTATTGTGTTGACACTTTGGCTATACAAAAATTCTGATTGTTTTATTCACTGCTTGAAATACAAGGCCAGGCAAAGATTTGCTGTCATGTACACGTGCAAACAGGTTTTTCAAAAAAAAATCATCCCTAAGGCAAAAAAAAAAAAGTCTCCGGTTTCTGGTATGCGCGCGCCTCGCCGTAGCCATGCGCGTCGGCAAAATGAAAAAGTTTTGTTTTCAATGAAAGATGATGTCTCAAAACCGCCAAACTCACTGGTTTGACTGGAATCCTGCTGCTGCACAATTTTAACGTGTTTTTAGATTGGGTTATGGTCGAGAATAAGCTTGATGTGGCCTCTCTGGACTCCCATTTATTTGCACTAAGTTTAGTCGGGCACCATTTGCAGTCATCAGTCGACATTTGAAGCAAAAAAATCAGGTAAAAAAAAAAAAAAGCCGCGTCGCCGCACCACTTTTTGGGCAAGCTCCATACCAGAAACTGGAGACTTTTTTTTTTGCCTAAATGTAAGACAATACGTGGATTTTCTATTAAGCCCCAGTCACACATTCATGGTTGGAGCTACGAATATCCACGGTTTACCAAGAATCAATCGATCACGATGAACCGTCGAGGTTCGTTGAGAAATCAACTTGCACTATGGTTTCAGGACGGATATCCACGACAGTCCTACGGTTTCTCTACGAGTACAGCACGGTTTGTCAAGAATATAGACAGATTGGTGAAGAATATCGACGGTATTACTAAAAATAATGACTTTACGCCACGGTTGTCTACGATTGGGTCACGGATGACCAAGGTTCTCCTACGAATAAAGCGTGGATATTGGTAGTACAACCTTAGCAGAACCCGAACACATCCGGGCATATCCGTAGGACATTCGTAGCGAATTCGTAGAGATTTCTACCACGAATGAGCTACGAATCTCCAAGAATATGCACGACTAATAAAGCCACAAATAACACTACGAATAAGTACGGTTGTCCTACGAATGTCCCACGGTTGCACTACGGATTAATTTTCATGACTGTTCACCACGGAAGTTATGAACAGTTTCAAACTTCGTCGCCCCTCCATGAATACCCAAGGAAGATAACGGATAACCACCTATGGTTTATTACGAAATTCAAACCGTGGAGATCCAAACCGTGAATGTGTGACTTGGGCTTAAGCCACACCTTGGAAAGATGGCTATCAAACGTTAAGAAATTGAAACTAAATTTTGGTGATCCCCTGACGAAAGTCCACCTATTACCCCCTTGGCTTTTTGCAAGAGGAACCATCCAAAATCCTCTAAAATCCATCCTTGTTAAGGACATTATTTACAAATTCTTTGAAACCCCCACCCCTGAAAAGTACTGCACTGACTTGACCCTACTCTGCATAATCCTGCACAATCCTTCAAATCCATCTGGTGGAATTTCGATGAAGGATAAAGGAGGTATGGGGTCAAGGTAATTTGGGTATCTTATTCAGGGCAATGGGGGGAGTGTGGCCTACTGGTTAGGGTTTGTGGCTCATGATCAGAGGGTCAGGGGTTTGAATCCAGCTGCTTGCCATATGTTGTGTCCTTGGGCAAGCCACTTCACCCCCACTTGCCCCTCTCCACCAAGGAGTACAAATGGGTACCGGCATTAGCTGGGGAGTAACCTGCGATGGACTAGCATCCCATCCAGGGGGAATAGAAATATTCTCAGACCAGACATAAAAGCCAGCCTGATGGGCCACATTGGCTTTACTTTACTGACAATATTTTCAGGGCAATTCCCTCTTTAAGGATGTTACATTCAGAGCCTACTGAGTACTGACCAATGCGAAACAACAAAATAAAATATATGCAGTGAAAGAGGTCTAGCTTAGACCTTAATGTATAACATGGCGTGGTTTATGTAGTGTATAGCTGAATTAATTAAGGAGACACAAGCACTGTAAATGACCGTTACGGACATTACACATTCTGACATTTGGTGTGACTTTCTGTACACATTGATAAACCTCTGTAAAAAATTTTGCAAGAATTTATGAAATTACTCTTCTTTGTTTTTTTGCCTCACTCTATAAAAACATCAATGACATAATTTACAAAAAGCTACTTTGATGTTATGGAAACATTATGGACGCTACGTTCGATTGCATTACGGACGTTATGAGGCCAAAATCAACTTCACAAATGTGATAAAAAAAACAACTGAATCGTGGTTTTCTAAGTTGTGTGTGTCATTATTATAAAACATGAACCTTTCTCTCTGCCTTAAAAACAAACACTCGCAATAACAAAGTTTGCATTTTGCATGTGAAAAAATGCCAAAATGACCACCTAAAATCCATAATATTAGCCACAGAACCAGGCTTTGTGACAAAAAAATGTATACCGGCACACCACTCAACTGAAAGGTTTTGTTGTCTCATGTTATATGGTACCACATTTGAGGTTGTGCTGATTGTAATTATTAAGATTTCAATTAATTGTCCACTTTTCAGCGACTTTTCAGGATGCTGTTAAAGGGAATGTACAACATTTGCTTTTGCTGCAATTTTCAGAAATAAATGGATTTGGAGAATTAGTATGTTATAGAAAATATTGTTACACTGACTTGTTTCACGTTTTGGGTTCGTAGATGCTGGAAAAACCAAGAAAACCAATCATATTATTGTAGTCTGGTTCCCTGACCCCACTTAAGATAAAACGGACAAATGTATAGACTTTGGGGAATTGTAAGATCAGAGAATCAGTCTAGCAGGGTTTTAGTCTTCACATGTGTGTAATCAATTGCAAAGAAAATGCAGACGAACTAAATATAAAAAAGTAGGAGCACTTTTTGAAAAAGGCCAGTTTTCTCCAACGCTGGTCGGCCGACCAGCGTTGGAAAAATACAGTTTTTCTTGAAAACGTCAGCACACCAGGAGCCACAACTTTACAGGATGCTTTAGATTGTCATTCCCTAACAATCCAGTAAGATATTTCGTGATTATTTGATCGTTTCGTTTTTTGATGTTTGCAAATGTTGTATCTTCCCTTTAAGCAATATTCTGATCTGGAAAGGCCCAAAAATGCACAAAGCCAGCTGTGTTTCAACTTAAATTGAAAGAAAGATGAAATTCAGTCCCATATATAAAAATCACGTGACCCTAAGCAGGAAATCACAACCAGTCAAATGTGACCCTGGCAGCACTCATACCGACTTGCTGGTTTTCTAATCATGTATCGAGTCGAAAACACAAGCTGGAACATCGATGGTCTGAATCACATGGCACGCAATGATTCATCTTCAGAAATACCAGCAAGGAAAAATCGCTTCCTCTACAGCTGCGAAACCAAATATTGGTAAACTCTTTTCTTTGTCTGTGTATATGGGTATGTTCGTACATTCTTGTTCTGTAATGGACCGATCCAGTAAGCCCCGCCCACTGCACACGTGGGCAAATTAACACGTGCTCCTCTCCAATGCCAAGCTGCATTTTCCTGCCGCGCGCATGGTACGTGCGTGCACGCATGTCGGACTTTAGTGCACGAACGTCGGACATAGATCATGGCTGTGATTGGTCAGAACACCATGGGGCGGTGCTTACTGGATCGGTCCATTGTGGGGACTTCGCATGTGTTGTCCCATGGTATTATGGGGACCAAAGACGCTGTGGGGAAAGAAGAAAGTCCACATAACTCGGTCCTAAGTACCCTAACAATAAAAAAACGTCCCCATAACGCGGTAACGGCTCGCCCTATAATGCACACATATATATGCGTAATCAGTGTACCATGATTTAGGCTTAACCCAATACAAAAACTACATACAGTAAATTCCCGTTAAGTCTAGTCTCAAGGAATGGATAAAAAAACTTGAGGTGTCCAGATTTCTGGAGTTCAAGTTAAGCAAAGTTCCCGACACACTATCTGGCACACTTTCCTTTTGGTTTTCATTCTACAGGTGTATTGTTTTAGTCTCAAAGCATCGTTTTACTCAGATTTCATATTGTTCTTAGCTAAAACATGACAATAAACCACTCAAATTATGTAACTGTGTGTAACAAATCTTTATTTCGTGTCGTTTATTTCGCACCACGCTCGGGGTTTTCTGATATGTGGCGCGGTCACATAGCTGGTCCTCTTTAATCAATAGAGGGCGCACCAGCTGCAACAGGGCCAGAGGTAGCATTCGGGCTATAACTCACGTGCACACTCACTGGTTTCCAATACGGTCACATGGCCACCGCAAAGAGCCAGTGATTGGACTGCCGGCGTGCGGGTTCCAATTGGGCCAGCGGTAGCGATCAGGGCATCTTGAAAGCCAGGATTTGTTGCGGTCACAGGCTGGAATCGGATCACAATGCAGCATATCCCCAAGTAAAAAGAGGAAGTCGTTGGGCAGTATGACCCATGAAAAAAAGGTTTCGCGATGATGTTTACGCTTCTTTCTGGCGGTTAGGCTGCAGTTTCTTATGGACTGGCCGAACAAAACTTTGAATTCAACGGAGGTACCAGTGTGGGCATTTCGAGTTACGGGGGGGGGGGGGGGGGGGGGGTATTCATGTACATAATATCCTATTCTCTTGACAAGAATGGAGTATTACTTCGAGATAAACAGAGTTTCGAGTTATCTGAATTTGAGTTAATGAGAAATAACTGTATATCTACCAGAGTACTTACCTAGACTGTGACCCTGTGGAGCTAGCTGAGCTCTGCCGTGTGGACCCGCCATGGGAATTCCTTCCCCCATCCTTCTCCGTCCCTTGTCTGCGTCTCTGAGACCTGGAAGAATCTTCTCCTGACATTGTCAGTGCGAGGAGTGGCCTGTCCAGTCCGAGGTCGTCAACAAGAATGTCCGAGTTACAGTCACTGGAGGATGCTGTCGCTTCGGCCTGAAGTCATACAAATTAGTGATTTCTAAATAAGACTTATTAATTTAATGTGATGAAACTAAAATTATTTTTGAACTCTCTACCTCATTTGTTTTCGTTAAATTAAGAAACCACTGATATAGGGCTGAATAGCTCAGTTGGCAGAGAACTAGAACAGTGTTTTGACGGTTGAAGTTTCAAATCCAACTCAATGAATTTCTTTGTTCGACCTAATACGGCAATTCCAGCGTTACGGACATTACAAATCAGAAATGTTTTTGTACTTTAAGAGCTCGGTAAATAAGCCTGAAAAAATACGTTTCAAATCTTATGCATCCATAATCTGGTGATGGTCAAGGAGATTACAGACTGGGAGTTTTGTATCATTTCTCTGAATCATGAATTAGATATTGTGGTTAATTGGCTCAGTCATGGACATTACATTTTCTTCCATAACACCCAATATTTCCCCCCCCCCCCCCACAAGAAAACTTATTACCACTTAGGACATCATTTGCAAAGTTGAAACCAAATTCTGCTCTGGTTTTATCAGCACAAATTCATCAAAAACCACTATTGCGATATGAGGATTTGATACGTACATTGACCACATCAGCTAAGCTGGGACCCCGCAGTACATCCAGGAACTCAGCATTCTTGCCTAATATTCTGGAGAATAAAAACAAACAAAAACCAGCAGATTGAGAGTCTTCCTGTTACACTGAAATTATGAGTGAGTGGGTAAATTTGGCCCTGTAAGTGAGGTGGCCCTGTAAGCTGGGTGGCACTGTCAGTTTTTTCTTGGCCTTACTACATGTGCAAGCAACAGCAAAGTACAGCAAAAGAACAAACTTGGTACTTGGTACTTGGTTGGTTTCCTCCTGAAACATCCTCTAGGGATCTTGACTAGGAGGTCAACAAAACCAACAAATGTATTTGTCACCTGCTTCCAATATTTATCATTTTTTTAGACAATCCTGATTGCGTGCCCATCCCGACTGGCATATGCAATTTTGCCTAGCACACGTAAAACTTGATCGGCATGTTTGGAACATTCAAATACCCGATCGAATCCAGGTTTGAATAATCAAATACGAAATTATTAGAAACTGCTGTGCACTACGAGCAAGTGGGAGGGGAATGTAGCCCATTACCTCTGTGTAGCAGCCTGGTGTGTCAGTGACGTCTCGTACATCTTCTGTATTCTTTTCTTCTCATAATCCCTCATCCTCGCTTTAAGACGGTACTCCTCCCTCAGTCTGATTGCCTCAGGGTCCTCCTTAGGAGGCTCAAGGTCCATGGTGAAGCAGGAAAGCTGGGGGAACTCCACCTGCAATTACAGGCCATCTTCATTCAGGACGTTAAACTCATTTGGAAATGAAAGTTAGATGTGAAGTAGTAGGCCTGTTTCTTGACAATTTTGTTTATCGTGGACTATTCTGGATTTGGCCATCAGCCTCGGCACCTTTGCACACGGGCAACATCACCTTCATTTCATTTATGCAGGGAAAAAAATTCTTATAATCAAGTTACGGTCATTTGAAAGAATCAGCTAATTTGTGACAGCCTACTGCACAGTGATTTTTTGATAGGCCATAATCCAGTATTCAACTTAAAGCTAATTCCCCGTGTTATTCAATGAATGCGATTTTATTTCTTCTCTCGATTAATTTTCAACCAGCGAGAAAGAAGTATTGTGGGCTTGTAAAGTAATAATTCAAAAAAACATTCAGTGGATGTCTCATACAATTTTTTTGTATTACTAGAACAATAGCAGTTTAGAAAAGGAATCATGTTTTTTTTTCAAGGTGAAAACCAAAAGCAACATGGGAAAAACATCTTTAAAGCTAAAGGGATTATTTCTATAGCATCTACCTTCCCTAGCTGTACTGTTGGATCTGGGTCTTGCTCTTTCAAGCTCGGTGAGGTCATCTTACGACCATTCTTGCCTGCCTTATCCACCTGTCAGAAAGTATTGAAGAAGCAGATGATTTAAAAACATCAAAGGTCACATGACATAACCACCAATGTGGAGTGCCGAGGTCTCGTGCTCTATGAAACTAGATCCTGGATTGTGGCATGGTCCAAATGGAACATTCCAAAGGAAGACAAACGATTAAAGTTTTGCGACACTAACAAAGGCTGAATTTCTTATGACCCCTCTTTCTCATTTATCGATATATGGAATTTGATGGAAATGAATGCAAGTTAACCCATTGTACTAGATTGTGTTACATTGTGTTTATTCACTGAAGAATTAATACAACCATAGAGCGCTTGGGCAGTTTTGGGCGCTACCGTGAGAGCGCTTGGGCAGTTTTGGGTGCTACAGTGAATGAAGCCGGCCTCAGGTCGACCCGCAATTTGCTTGCGCTGCGACGGAACCGTCGGCATCAAGCACAAAAGTCATGGTCCGTTCACAAAACTGAGAAATCGTGTGATTCTGGTGGAACATGTGTCACCTCAACACAAAATAATCACAACCATGCTCACGTCACCTACAACGTGACGACAATTTATGATCCGGATGAGCGCAGCATGTCGTAACTGCACACAGGTCGACTGCGATTGATTCCCGCCTGTCCGGACCACGTTCTGTTCAGGTGCAGAAATTAAAATATTCTACTCTTGCGACTATTGATATTTTTAGCACCGACTGATGCCGATCGTCTAAATATCCTCACAGTTGCACTCAGATCTCAAAAAAAAATTGGCGACTAGAATGTTCCATAAGTCCGAAGCTCAGGCGTAGCTTGATCCTGAAAAGTCAGTCCCCGACTGTTCTGTGTCGTCGCCCGGTCAACCCGAGGGCGGCTTAATAGGCAGGCCATTTCAGGGCTACAGTGACTTGGGTTCCTGTTGATAACTGACCTTCTTGAATTGCTGGGTAACCGCCCAGCTCTGGCTTCCGCCTGTCTTAGTGCCTGGGCGAGAAGGTTCGCTGTCTTCATAGATCTGGGACAGGCCTCGGGTGAAGGTGTCTGTGGGTCCGTCCTCTTGATTGAGAGAGGTCAATGATGACGTCACACTGTTACACAGGGAGGGCTCTGTCAATGAAAGAAAATGTGGCTCCAGTTTCAACGAGATATGAAGCATGGATGGGGGATGATGACTTACTGTAATTATATCTTCATGATTGAACTGTTTGTTTTTAGCCTGTCTGTGACTGTGGCACGGCACATGGTAGAGGCCTGTGCAGACATGCTTTAGGCCTGTGTGCACAAGCCTTTGGGTGTGCACATTGTTCCCACGTGCTACAGAGTTGGGTTCATACAGTTCATGCCGGGGTAGTTTGGCAAAGTGGAAATTGTCAACTAATTTCATATTGAAATAGAAGTACAGTTTAATTGAACTTTGGTTAAATGAATTGGTTATCTCTTAAAATCAAGCAGAAACTGTGGGTGAGGCGTTATGAAACAAATATTGACTGCTTTGAGTGGTGTAGTAAAACTAGCCTCCCTCGGTGATCCATGTAGCGTTCCATATCCCTCGGCTACGCCTCAGGAAACCAGAACGCTCCATGGATCACTTTGGGAGGCTAGTTTTATCACACCACTAAAAACAGTCAATATTTGCATACTATCTAATATCATTTCGTGGTAAACACATCAGTGTTGTGGTCGAATACATTTCCATGAGTACGAGTACGAGTATGAGTATGAGTACTTTGTCATGAGTACAATTTGTACAAGGCATTTTTTCCCCATGAGTACAAATACAAGAACATGTACCAAAAAATGTACTCGAATACGAGTACAAGTATGAAGGAGCAAATTTCCAAAAGTAAGAGCAAATTTCAACATGTCACCTGTTTTGTAGGGCTTTTTGCTATCAATTTTTTTTCTAGGAGTACGAGTACGAATACCCAAAAAATGTACTCAAGTACAAGTATGAGTACAAGTACAATACTTTCCATGAGTAGGAGCATATTTCAATGGTGCACGTGTTCTCAAGGTTTTTTTTGCTATCAAACTAGGCATTAAACAAATGCAGAAGCCTCCCAAACAGTAGAAGACTGATTCTTTTCCTGCATGTAGCTCTTAATTTTTTTTTGTAATTCTTGCGTAAGAACATCTGCAAGAGTATGAGTATGAGTACAAGTACTTTGTCATGAGTACGAATATGAGTATGGGTATTTTTTCTTGTGAGCACAAGTACGAGTGCGAGTAAGAGTACAAGTACAAGTACGAGTACAAATATGAGTACAAGAACGAGTACAAGCACGAGTATAAGTAAGAGTACAAGTACAAGTACGAGTACAAGCACGAGTATAAGTAAGAGTACAAGTACAAGTACGAGTACAAGTACGAGTATAAGTAAGAGTACAAGTACGAGTACAAGTACGAGTACAAGCACGAGTACAAGCACGAGTATAAGTAAGAGTACAAGTAAGAGTACAAGTACAAGTACAAGTACGAGTACAAGCACGAGTACAAGCACGAGTACAAGCACGAGTATAAGTAAGAGTACGAGTACAAGTACGAGTACAAGTACGAGTACAAGCACGAGTATAAGTAAGAGTACAAGTACGAGTACGAGTACAAGCACGAGTACAAGCACGAGTATAAGTAAGAGTACAAGTACAAGTACGAGTACAAGTAAGAGTACGAGTACGAGTACAAGTACGAGTACAAGTACGAGTACAAGCACGAGTATAAGTAAGAGTACGAGTACAAGTACGATTACAAGTACGAGAACAAGCACGAGTATAAGTAAGAGTACGAGTACAAGTACGAATACAAGTACGAGTACAAGTACGAGTATAAGTAAGAGTACAAGTACGAGTACAAGTACGAGTACAAGCACGAGTACAAGTACGAGTACAAGCACGAGTATAAGTAAGAGTACAAGTACAAGTACGAGTACAAGTACGAGTATAAGTAAGAGTACAAGTACGAGTACAAGTACGAGTACAAGCACGAGTACAAGCACGAGTACAAGCACGAGTATAAGTACGAGTACAAGTAAGAGTACAAGTACAAGTACAAGTACGAGTACAAGCACGAGTACAAGCACGAGTATAAGTAAGAGTACAAGTACGAGTACGAGTACAAGCACGAGTACAAGCACGAGTATAAGTAAGAGTACGAGTACAAGTACGAGTACAAGTACGAGTACAAGCACGAGTACAAGCACGAGTATAAGTAAGAGTACGAGTACAAGTACGAGTACAAGTACGAGTACAAGCACGAGTATAAGTAAGAGTACAAGTACGAGTACAAGTACGAGTACGAGTACAAGTACGAGTACAAGTACGAGTACAAGTACGAGTACAAGTACGAGTACAAGTACGAGTACAAGTACGAGTACAAGCACGAGTATAAGTAAGAGTACAAGTACGAGTACGAGTACAAGCACGAGTACAAGCACGAGTATAAGTAAGAGTACGAGTACAAGTATGAGTACAAGTACGAGTACAAGCACGAGTACAAGCACGAGTATAAGTAAGAGTACGAGTACAAGTACGAGTACAAGTACGAGTACAAGCACGAGTATAAGTAAGAGTACAAGTACGAGTACGAGTACAAGTACGAGTACGAGTCCAAGTACGAGTACAAGCACGAGTACAAGCACGAGTATAAGTAAGAGTACAAGTACAAGTACGAGTACAAGTATGAGTACAAGCACGAGTACGAGTACAAGTACGAGTACGAGTACAAGCACGAGTACAAGCACGAGTACCCAAAATACGTACTCGAGTACGAGCACTACACCATTGAAACACATTTGTGATTTCAAACGGGCACTTGCTCTCATAGGCATTCCTTTAACCCCACCTGTATGGATATCCTCCTGAGAGCCAATATGAGTGCCATAGCCCCCAGTCGTCAGTGCTTCCCCGCCTCCAAACAGCAACTGGAGGTTCTCTGGCTTTTCAATGTCGCTCCAGAAGTTCTCCAAGTCTTCAATCGTCCTGAACTTTCCTTCCTTCATGAGTTTCTCCTCCAGACAAATGATCTGGAGACAAGGAGAGTATCAGACAGCTTGTTGTACTTCTTAAGTCTAACTTGGAGGACGGGTGAGTCTTAACCAGTGGTTATTAACTGCGACTCTTACAACAGAACAATGCTACTTTCCAAGAGTTTTGAGAAATGTCATTTACCTTTTTCTATGTTTCAACTTACAAAAAAAGTCTAAAAAAAGTACAAATGGTACACTTCTGATAAATAAGTTTGATTTAGGGCTATCCCCAATATACCAAATAGTCGAATATTCGATCATCAACCGAAAATGCGAAAAGCTTTCTGCCGGTTTGATATTTGAAAACAAACAAATCTACCGTAATTTTCGGAATATTAGCCGCGGCTTATACGTTGAATTTGCCCATGAAAATTTTTACTGCGGCTTATACACAGGGCGGCTTATACGCCGAGACTTGAAGAATAACTAGAACGGCGAAGCCGCCATGGCTCGCTGTCCAAGGCAGGAAGGGAGGCTGAAGGTAGGGTTGAGGATGGGCATGATGGAAGGGGATCAGGATTCTTGTTGATGTGCCTAGGTGTAGGGGTCAGTTTTTAAATGTCAACATAAAAAGTTAACAGATTACCTAATAAATACATATGTATATAGGTTAGCCGTCACTGTATTATGGGGGAGTTTTCCATTGTTAGGGTAATTAGGACCCACTTGTGGATTTTTGCAGCCCCAACAGTGTCTTCTGGTCCCCATACTTGTAGTACCATGGGAAAACTCTTGTGTAGTCGCCACAAATGCAGAACAAGAATGGGTATACATGTACATGTAGACACAGCACCATCACCACCTCCCCCGAACCTTTCCCCATCCCAAAACCTTACCCCATCCCCAACCCGCCCCCTCCCCCACCCAACCCCCTACCCACACCCATTCCATCCTCCCCTAACCATCCCCACCCTATCACCTACACATCCCAACCCACTCAAACTCCAATCCCTATCTCCTTCCCCCTCCCCTGACCCGTACCCTCCCCTACCCCAACCCCCTACACCCACCTACCCTATCTTCCCTTATCTGTCCTTACCCACCCTACACATCCCCATCCTAACCCTTACTCGAATTCCAATATCCCGCCCACCCCATATCCCGTATTCCAACCCCTCTCCCCACCCCAACCCACCCCGCCCCACCCATCCTAGCTCCCCTACTCATCCTACTCACACAAACCCCAACTCCAACCCTATACCCCACCCACCCCACCCCACCCCACCCCACCCCACCCCACCCCACCCCACCCCACCCCACCCACCCCACCCCACCCCACCCCACCCCACCCCACCCCACCCCACCCCACCCCACCCCACCCCACCCCACCCCACCCCACCCCACCCCACCCCACCCCCCCCACCCCACCCCACCCCCACCCCACCCCACCCCACCCCCCCCCACCCCACCCCACCCCACCCCACCACCCCACCCCACCCCACCCCACCCCACCCCACCCCACCCACCCCCACCCCACCCCACCCCACCCCACCCACCCCACCCCACCCCACCCCACCCCACCCCACCCCACCCCACCCCACCCCACCCCACCCCACCCCACCCCCCCCCACCCCACCCTCCCCTACCCCATCCCTACTCCAACCCCATCCCTACTCCAACCCCATACCATACTGAAGTTATAAAGATGATACATGACAACTGCATTTAATTTTCTTCCCCAAGTTAACTAGAACCAAAAACTTCAACATTTTTATCTGAACGCGGACGTCCGTTCTAGCCAGACGGACGTCCGTCCGTCCATCCGCCCTTCCGGACGGACGCCCGGACAGACGCCCGGACAGACGGACGGAAATTGGTATTACATAGGCTCGCATCTGCTTCACAGCTCACCAAAAATGACATTTACATGTGTATTTAATGTACTGGTACAAGAAGAGATGTGTTGCTGAAATAATTATCAATTAAGAAAGTCATTAACAAACCGAAAGCACGTCCCACAAAAAGGTACACAGCGGTAAAAAGTACGGCTAGTGAAAGCTGTCCCTTGGACATCGACAACCGGCCGTACGTACGTGATGCTGCATGCATGCTGCATGGATTCCCCATGGACCACACCATTTGTGGTAATAAAGGGGTGTACTTTCTTGGGAACAATAATTACCAATATTTCCCCTGTTTAAAAAAGAAAAACGACAACTAATACTTTTTATGGAGTTTGAAACATATCTTTATTTGATAATCAGTTGTTCAATTATTGTTGTCACAATATAATTTTTTTCTTGAAAGGTATTCAAGAAATGATGTAAACTCAAAACAGGGGTGAAATCACCCCTTACGAAATTAATGGATTCGTCCATAAAAATCTCAGCATCGTGTTGACTGTTTTTGAAGAAAGTTACGATCCAAACTTGAATTTTTGACGTTACTACTCGTTAGTAATCACAACAATTTGATAAGTTTTGCTGTAAAAACGGACTTGTTTAAGTTTAGGACAAAACAACTCAGCATTTGTTGCCACAAAGCAGGATTTGTAGCGCTCCAGTCAGACAACACATGGTGGGTTGCATACTCTCTCAAGTGCTGGGGGAAAATAATGTCATTCGCAGCCACAGGCTCACTGACAAGCCAGCCAGCAGCAATTCCCGTTTTTTATTTCTCATCATCAATTTCCATATTTGTTTGTAAGAGTAATCGACTGTCAATGATTTGATATAACTTTTGTGGCCCTTTTATAGCTTTCGTAGTGTAAATGGAACTGGTTCAGAGCATTTTGACTAGAATTTGGAGGCCTTACAAAATTGAACTGCTGTGGTTGGTGCGGCTTATACGCCGATGCGGCTTATACGCCGACTTCAAATCTTAATTTGCAAATTTTTGCGTGCTGCGGCTTATACGCCGCGCGGCTTATATTCCGAAAATTACGGTACGCACATACACACACAACTGGGATTTTTTTTCTCTTAAAGTTGCGGTGCTTTTTTGTCAGGTGCCACTTTTTTGGTCAACGGTCACTTTTGTTTGTCAATGGCAGCTCATTGTTCACATCCTTTTAGCAGGTAAAAAGTTTTACAGTTATAAAAAAAACTTACTGCGCAACACACTCCAGCACCACATATCGATCGCTGCACGCAACTTTTGACTGGCGCACTCTTCGTGCAACTTTTTACCAGCGCAGCATGCAGTTGCAACTGGCTTTTTTTTAATATCCGAATATTCGGTCAAATGCACTTTCGAGTAATCAAATACTGAATTATTTGAAACTGGACAGCCCTAGTGTGATTTGTGATTTTGCCCTTGGGAATAATCTGCAGAACAATTTGTTGCATCAAAAAAGTGGGATAAGATCTGCTTGCTCTCAACTCTAAATGTGACGAACGTAAAGCACACAGCACAAAAGTAATGAAACTTGTTATTAATCTACTTTCTGACATCAGCATAATACCATTTTTGAGAGTGATAAAGCTAGACTAATCAGAAGAAATATCCCCGATGTATGGAAATTAGCATCTTACCTGATGGAGCTTGGTCCGAGGAAGGTTTTCCAGGAAGGTATTGTCATGATTCAGGGACGACTTCTCATGCCGTTTCTTCAGTTTGTGTGATTCCCTCTTCTACACAATCAATCCAAAACAAAAAGAAAAATGTCCATCTACATTCAAGTCCCATTCGTAGGAAACAATCCAGGGGCTGATCTCAGGAAGAGTAACTCATCTTTACTCACGACTCACCCCAGGATCGATTTCACCAAACTTAAAATGCATTTAAAGCATCCTAAAGCCTAGTTTCCATATCAACGTAAGAAATGCAGCGAATAACGCAAACAAGACCTAAACTGCAATGCACAAATATGGAAACATTTCATCCGGAAATGTCACTGACAACCCTAACAGACGCAAACAATCTCGCAGACGAAGGTTCCGCACACTGCTTGTGCAGTCTGCATAAGCTTAATATCGATATGGAAACCAGGCTTTGAAAACTAATACTAATCAATGGTATCTTGTTCACTGTGCATGGAAATTTAACGCCAAAGCAGAGAAATTTTTGAGACAAAGTTCTTGCTCAATGGTAACATATTGCTGCCACATTTGATTGTTTTCACATTAATTTGGTTTTTTTTTTATGATTTTAAGAGCGGGGACAAGTCTAGTGCTAGTTACAACAAGACAAGTTTCCTGATATTGGCATTGAGATAATGTTGACCAACAAGCTATAAATCGCATGAGCTATTGCCATCCAAATACTTCTCCGAGTTAATACTACTACTGACTTGTCTCAGGCTTGCGTGAAAGATTCAGTTTTTTTCAGTGCTGTATACTCAGATTTTCGAGTAGATTATGAAAAGTGTCCATGGTGTTAATTAGTTGCAAAGTTTTCTTGTTTATCAAATTCCACACTTTTGTTGAAAGCCACTTTCATGTGTGATTTCAGAGCTTCCATGAGGATTAGCTCAAATTTCTGAGCGCATGCTTAGTAAACTATTGCAAGGCTAACCCGTGCTCATGCAATAGTCGACTGCGCATGTGTATTTACCCTGTGTGTGAATCATCGCCTGTGTGCAACTAGCATCCGACAAGTGATGGTGAATAGACCAGTACGAATTCAGCTCTTGCTCATGAATATGTATGAGGTATAGTAATAGGGAGGTTTCGCAAGCGAACGGATACACTTACACTTACGCTAAGCTATCCGTATCCGTTTTCTACTTACGTGTAGCGAGCGAGATATGCGTGTCGTCTGCACGTTTAGCGGATAGTGAGTGGCATATGACGTCATACGTGCAGACGACATGCATATCTCGCTCGCTACACGGAAGTAAAAAACGGATACGAATAGCTAAACGTAAGTGTAAGCTTGCGAAACCTCCCTAATATCCGGTCCGTCACACACAAGCACGCACACATACTGAAATGTGTATCCTTGTGGAGACATTTCTCTGTGCTCGTGTAGTAAAGTTTTCGGGTTTGAAAGTGTAGATTCAAAATGCTCTTATTTTAACCAGAATTAATTTCCTTGGCTGAAATTCGGACTTAATATCCCTTTTCTAAAACTCTTCCATTTACGACGGATCAACATACTTTGGAAATTCCTAATTTTTGAGTAAAATCCATATATCTATTTCGTGAAAACCTTGTGGAGACGTATTCATCTATAGAAATTGCCCTGTGGAGACGTATACAATCTTTTGTTCCCTATTGTGTGCATGTCTCCAGAGGGCACGGTGTATCAGTGCACCACTGATAACTAGCCCCAATTGGATAAACGCTCGAGTTGTGTTAACTTCCGGTTCCATTCGTGCTACGCTACACCATGTGACATACACATGGTTGAATTGAGATGATGTCACACTAACGACCCGGATAGTTTAGCCCAACTTCGCTCACCCTATTTGCAGATTTTTTATCGCTCTCTCACTTAGCCTTACCTCTTGAAGTTCTTTCCTGAGGATCCTTCGGTTCAGCTGATCTGTCCTTCTCTGAATCTCTCTCCTCTGGTCTTCTACTTTGTCGTTCAGCTTGTTCATGTAGACTGCGTAGTAGTGGTTCCGCAGCTTAGTCAAATCATCTAGAACGCGCACGTGGCGCTGGATTTCAAAATAAAAACATACAGTTGACGATAAACACCAAGTGGCTTTTAAAAACAATTTGCATAGCATAATTATATCACCGGCACTTTTTTAATTTTTAACTGACATCAATTAAACTATATGTACAAGGAGTGCAGTACAAAGTGCGACAAAATAAAGCAGAGTTTCGAACACATCATTTACACTTTGTTTGATGGGTGTGTACATGGGTGTCGCCAGGATTTGTTGGGGGGGGGGCAAAGCACATTTATTCCCCAAATCCTTGTACTTTCACTAGCATATTCTCAAGTTGCCCACCCCACCGCCATTGACACCCCTGCAAACGCCCATTTTGTTAAATGTGTATTAACCCCATGCGTACGGGAAGCGGTCATGGCCGCGGCCGCTAATCCTCATTGGAATGCAGTTGCCAGCTGTGGTATGCCGTGGCACACGGCTAGTGGGTAGTTCCACAGCTGCTGCTTTTGTGCAGTCCCGCTACCACACAAAGGCTGTGCAGTCATGCGGGCCACTTGCTCTATGTGTGGAGGAATGTCCCCATTACACCCCGTCCTTAAATGGTTAAATTAATAGCAAATATAACTTCTCATCTCTTTTTCATTTTTTTTTCTATTCTCTTTTTTTTTCTCCTTTGTTGTTGTTATTGTTGTTGCTTTCTCAGGGAGGCAAGCGCCCCCCCTTGGCTCCGCCCCCCCCCCCCCCCACCCTTGGGACGCCCATGGATGTGTACCATGTCTGCAATAACACTGAGGCATCAAAGCAGAGTGGCAATTGGAATTGCAATTTTGTTGACTCGACTCGATTTGATTCATGACAGACAACTGACTTCACTGGCCTCGAGTCACTGCGAGCGAACAACTTGACTTGACTCGAATCTCTTATAAATCGACTCGAGTCAAAGAGTCACCAACACATGAGTCCTTAAAGGGAAAATACAACATTTGCAAACATCAAAAAATAAAACTACCAAATCATTTTGAAATACCTTGCTGGACTGTTAGTGAATAACAGTGTAAAGCATCCTGTAAAATCATGGCACCTGGTATACTGTCATTTTCAAGAAAAGTGGTATTTTTGTATCAATTTCCAACGCTGATCGGCCGACCAGCGTTGGAAAAAAACTGGCTTTTTTCAAATACTGGCCCCAGTTGACCATCGCACTTGTTTGCAATCGATTACACACCTATGAACGGGTACAAGCCAGCTAGACTGGTTCCCTGACCTTACAATTCCCCAATGTATGTAAACTGCTCTGTTTCTTCTTAAATGGAGTCAGGGAACCAGACTACAGGAAAATGATTGTTTTTCTTGGTTATTATAGCATTTTCGAACCCAAAACCTCAAAAAAGTCAGTGTAACTATATTTGCTAAATATTTCCAACCCCCCAATTCCATCCATTTCTGAAAATTACAGCAAAAGTAAATGAAGTATATTCCCTTTAAAACAATGCAAGAAAACAAAAGTCTTTATTCCTGAACTGTGTGAGCGCTAGTAACAATGGGGGTATAAAATGACGTGAACCTAAGGTTATTGATGTAAGTGTGTGAACCTAAGGGTTATGTAAGTTGGTGCAAATTCACTACATCTCAACAATTACATTTCTACAATCTGTATGTTAAAAGTGACGGTTCTAAAATGATGTAATAAATGTGATCTTTCTAGTGCTTATACCCAGGTAATGGCGCCCTTATTCGCAACCTGCCACCCATAAAAATTTGGAATTTTGTTGCAAATGCCTTGAAATTAATGGCCTTTATATCCTTGTTAAAAAAATTCAAGGTCATATGCAATCCAAACAAGTGCAACACTGAACAGGCTACATGAATTTGAACAACTGTAACAATTTTCGCAAAAACCTCCCCAGATTGACTTTTCCAAATAAAGAAAACTCCTCCCGATAAACCCAAACATAACTCAATATTAGCATTAAATTCCACTTTAAACAAGTGCTGAAATGCAAACAGACCACGCATTACATGTTTAACAATAAACGCCCTCCACATTTGTAATGCATTTGTAAACTTTGTTAGTATGAAAAAAGTGTTATAAGAGAAGTTAAAATGACAATGAAAAACACCCTCCACCAATAACTACAATGTTATGAAGTATTAGAACAGACTCTGTGATCTATAGACCTTTTCACACTGTTGTCTCATCTACCTGTGTTGAAATCAACATGGGTGCACTGTAAGCAGAACCACGTCCCATCAAAACACAGGAAGGCAAGGCATACCGTTCACACTAAAACTGATGTGTAAGCAGGTCAGCTGTAAATTTGACATTTTCTACCAGGGTAGACCTCTTTGGATTTTTTAGACTGCAGCAGCCGATTTCACGAAACCTTAAGCAATGACCAAACTCATTTTGGGTGGCGTAAGTTGTGGCATAGCGACTGAAGATTACCTATTTTACTAACAAACTGTGATCGCCGAAGAAAAACGGACAAAATAATTTTCAAAATGGCGGGCTGAGGTGGTCCAACATCTGTTTCATAAACGAACAGATTCATACACAAACAGCTATCATAAACCAAAACGCCGTTATTATCCCCTGTCACACTCTCACGTCCATGCATGGCATTCATATTGCGTTGTTGAAATTCTTAAAAATGTAATGAAACGTCATGAAGACGCAGGATTCATGGCGATTGTTACCACGCACTCTGCGTCACCATGCACGTCCATGGAGTTCTCACGACGTTGCTCCCCCTCTGTCTGCGCGTTGCCAGTACGTGACGGCCGTTCGCGAGTTTGCGCGGAGTCCTTGCAGCGTTCTGATCAAAACGCAGAGGCGCGGCGTTTGTTTTGTGCATGTCCAAAATGAACGTGGCAGTTTGGCGTTCAGCGAAGTCCTTGGAGTCCCTCTGAAGTCCTCAACTAGTATCAATGAGTCCCCACGCCGTCATCTGCGTTCTCATCGCGTTCAAGGCCATTTTCTTGATCGCGGTACGAACTCCATGCCAGAACGTGACAGCGTGACAGGGCCTTTAGCTGCGCAACAAATTTGTTGCATAAGTCTTATGTATGGCACCAGCTACGCACTTTTTCGTGAAACCAGCTGCAGGACCCATGTAGAAGTCGTGTTGGATTCTTGCTAGTTGAGAAACAGGTTCCTGAAATCTCTGTGTTGGACCTGGGGTCAAACACAGAGATTTTGGATAGTGTGAAAAGCCCTCAAACTATAGTCCATCATTTGCAGCCATCCGAAAAGAAACTGGCGTAATTATTGTTGAAAAACATACTTGGTTGAAAGATAGCAAGGGGACTAAACTCCCTGTGAAATTATTTTTTCTGGCAAGCTGTCATTTTGAAGTAATCAACGAGAGAAGGCCTTTCCAACGGTGCGTCTTAAGAAAATTTAAATTAGTAGTTCCTTTTGTAATTTGGCAAAGCGCGTGCAAGCATTGGCACGACGCACACGCGGTTGCTATAATTCGTCAGATCAGTGTGTGACATCGCGTATAGCTGCAATTCAAAACAATTCAAAACATGATTCAACAACTTTTGATTTGAAATCGAGATCCTAGAATACTGTTTTTCTCGGAATATACAGCTGAAGCTGAGCTGAAACCTCATCTGGTTAGTTGTTCAGTATCCTTCATTAAATTTTGAACACTTTTGTTGCTTCAAACGAACAGAATGCACAGATTACAAATGATGGACTATATCTTTAAGTTTTGTGAACCTTTTTTAACACATGTACACATACTCAATACCTGTTAGTCATATCTTACCAACATCAGGGTTTTCAAGCGTTCATGAATATCCTTGTTACTCTCCCCAGCATGAATGCACTGTTTTATTACAACAAGCGGCGTCCAAAATACGAAGCATGCAAAGATTATGGGAACAATTGTTAGGAGTTAGCCCAAATCATATGTTGTCATGCAAGGAAAATAGGTTAATAAAGTAAAAAGACTAGGCATGCCTAGCAAAGCTGGTCACAGAGCACACACAATTCTATTCAATTGTATTCAATTGTAATGTGTTATAGTGGTGACTTGGTAGAAATGAAAAAAAAAATCTACTTCCATCCTACGCATAGAGACTTGAGTTATTGCAGGCACATTTATCATATCAGTTAGAGACTTACGCAAGTCTAATACACGAGTGACATTCAGTCAGGAAGATAGGAAACTAATATAATTCACTAGTAACAGTCAGTCAGATGGATAACCAGTCTTATTCACAAGTGACAGCCAATCAGTGAGATAGGTAACCTGTCTTATTCACAACTGACAGTCAGTCAGTGAGATACATGTATCCATTCAATTCACAAGTGAAAGTAATTCAGTCACAGACTTTAGCAAGTCTAATTCGCAAGTCAGTCAGTCGGGGAGTGAGTCGGGGAGTGAGTCAATCGGGGAGTCAATCCGAGAGTCAGCCGGGAGTCAGTCTGGGAGTCAGTCGGGGAGTCAGTCGGGAGTCAGTCAGGGATCGAGTCAGTCGGGGAATCAATCGGGGAGTCGGTCGGGGAGTCGGTTGGGGAGTCGTTCAGGGAGTTGGTAAGGGAGTCAGTTGGGGAGTCGGTCGGGGAGAGTTGTTCGGGGAGAGTCGGTCAGGGAGAGTCGGTCGGGGAGTCGGTCGGGGAGTGGGTCGGGGAGTTGGGGAGAGGGGGAGTCAGTCGAGGAGGGAGTCAGTCAGGGAGTAGGGGAGGTAGTTGGTCAAGGAGTCGGTCAGGGAGTCAGTCATGGAATCGGTCGGGGAGAGTTGTTCGGGGAGAGTCGGTCAGGGAGAGTCGGTCGGGGAGTCGGTTGGGTAGTCGGTCAGGGAGTGGGTCGGGGAGTTGGGGAGATGGGGAGTCGGTCAGTCGGGGAGTCAGTCAGGGAGTAGGTCGGGTAGTTGGTCGGGGAGTCGGTCAGGGAGTCAGTCAGGGGATCGGTCGGGGAGTCGGTCGGGAGAGTCGGGAGGGAGTCGGGAGGGGAGTCGGTCGGGGAGTCGTTCTGGGAGTCAGTCGGGGAGTCGCTTGGTGAATCGGTCGGAGAGTAGGTCGGGGAGTCGGTCGGGGAGTCGGGGAGTGGGTAAGTCTGTCGGTCGGGGAGTCCGTTGGGGAGTTGGTCGGTGAGTCGGTCAAGCACAAAGAGGACTTTAACTGGCCCCTCTAGGACCTGTGAAGAAAAAATACTCGCACAATTATTTATTATAAATTATGATGGAAATATTTAATCCTGGACTTGACTTTGATGTTTGAGAACTCAGATGCAAAGTTTTGGAGGTTTAATCATGAATTTTAAAACCGAGGAATATTGGGCTGGCTGGACAGGATTCTCAAATATTACCTCTCGGAGTTCCCTCAATCTTCTGGTTTCCTTGTCTTCCGTTTCATAAGGATCTAGACTCGCTGACTTCTCTCGTCGCTTCCTGGGTTTTTTCCCCTTGGTCTTATCCTTGTTCTCCAACTGCAGGAAAAAAATTGGAATCTTTAGAGGAGCTAGTGTGTCATATGGAAAAGGGTTAAATCCATTAAGGTTTCAGTAAATAAATTAAGGCAAAAAAAAACAATATCGGGGGAGTGTGGCCTAGTGGTTAGGATTTGTGACTCCTGATCAGAGGGTCAGGGGTTCGAATCCAGCTGCTGGCCATACGTTGTGTCCTTGGGCAAGCCACTACACCCCCACTTGCCTCTCTCCACACAGGAGTATAAATGAGTACCGGCATTAGCTGGGGGGAGTAACCTGCGATGGACTAGCATCCCATCCAGGGGAATAGAAATATTCTCAGTCATTTCATACCACTGAAACCGACGATGGTCTCATTGGCTTGTTTTGAATCTATTGAGTGACAATTATTGATTTTACTTTTACATTTTACTCTAAATAAATTGGTGGTCTGTTTTGGAGTACAAATGATCCAGTGTCTTGATCCATAATCCCCAATTCAAATACAGCAGTGCTGTGCCGTTTCAAACAAATTAGCATTTGATTATTGACACTCGGATTTGATGGAATATTCAAATGATGCGATCACTAACATTGAGGTAACAACTTTTTTATGAACATCATGTTTGTATGAATTTAGCTGATAAGCTGATGTGTGACAGATTTAGTGCTAAAATTGCTCATGGAAGCTCTTAAAGTGGCTGTCCACAAAAATGTTTTATTTGACAAACAATGAAACCTCCTAACTTATACAAATAAAATTACATGACAGATGCGTTTTGTCATTTTCTTGAGAGGCCCTAGTCCATAACATCTTAAATTTCCCCTTTCTGCACATAAGTTACTGGGAAAACTGAATTTATAATTTTGTAGCACAAAGTTTGATTTTAAAGATTTCACCTTTAAATTTCAGACCAATTTGGACAGCAGCTTAACCAGTTGGTGTCAGAGGACGTGATAACACACACTGGCTGTTTTTATACACAGGCATGGTTGACGATTTAAGATGTCAAGATTGCCTCGACTCGCCTCTGGGTGACGTCTAAGCGCGCCAATTCCTTGTGCCTTTTGTACACACACACAAAGTCCGTGAAGTCTGTGGAGGTGGACCGTGTGTTGATCTTGAATTGGCCGCTGTGCAAGGCTTATTGTTCGACAATTTACGCTCCAGTGCACACCCCGGAGTATTGAAACATACAGTGAAATCTCGATAAGTCAAACTCTGATAACTAAAAACAACTGTTATGTCAAACAAAGAATCCATTCCCTTCCATAGTATTGAACAATGATGTACAGCCCTGCTTAACTCAAAACTCTGCTGAAGTACAATTTTGAACCTGTTCCCTTCAGGTTTGACTTATCGAGATTTCACTGTATACTGTATATGAGGTTTCGGCAAGAAATATCAAACAAATATCGTTAAAATGATTCTTGCGAATCAGTATTTGTGGCATTTGGCTGTATATCAGAAGTTGGCTGGAAAATTTTGACTTTTGCGAAAGTCGAAATACTCGGCAAAAATAATCCCAAGGCAACTGGTGACTGATTAAGAAAAATTCTACAGTTCTTGTAATTCCTTCATTTTCTTACCTCAAACTTAAGTCGTTCATCATCAGTTGCCATAGGAACACCGGGATTATGTAGAAACTTTGTCCTCGTTGCACTGAAAGATGTTGCTGAGCTCACCTCACGTCCACTTTTACCCGTTGCCATGGTTTCAGTTGCAAACTTGACATTTGATTCCGTCTTTTTCAGCTAGGATAAGAAAATAGTACATGGAAGTTGAGAAATTAGTATGCAAACAGCGGGGTTTTTTTACCTGAATCTTGAAAATAACAGTGTGCCTATGTAGACTTTCTATGTGTTGAATTTGGAAAGAAAGTTGCAACCTGATGCTACTTTGGCGGTTGTGTACAAAGTCTATGGAGAGTTAAGAACATTTTCTAAGTATTTCCTAACAAAATTGGAAATGTTTCTCAGTCCCAGATTCGTGTCTTAACTCTTATCATCATTTTTGCAATTACTGACCTTCATTGAGATGATATATGAAGAAAAAAGCAGCATCAGGTTGCAACATTCCTTCCTTAAATTTCAGTGATTGATTGTCTCAACTATCCGTGTTGAAATCAACACAGTTCCACCTTAAGCAAAACCAGCAAAACTGAGTCCCATCGCACACAGGTAGGCAAGGCGTACTGTTACAGGTCTGCACTGTGTTGTACACTGGTCAGCAGTATAGTTCTTTAACTTTTCAACAACTAAAAAATCTTTCCAATCGGGTAAATATTTATTGACTTTACTGGCCAATTGAAAACAAGTGCCGCTTTTATATCGGTTTGCCCTTGCAGTACGCTATGCACAACACGTCACGGCGCGCCCACACATGGGCTTGTTAATCCAATTTGTATCATGTCTATCCCACAAATACGTTGCGCACCCAAGTTTTTACTGGCTTACCTATACATTATAGGGCCTACTAGTAATACTATTACTAGACTGTACACATTTCTTTCCCCCCAAAAAATACCTGCTTAAATTAGATACCAATTTTTTTTCTTTGCTTTGCAGAATCGTACGGAATCCAAACTTGAATTAAAATGTTTCTTATGACTTTCTCTACCTCAAACCACATCAAAAACAAGGAAAGAGTTTCATACTGGGCCACCACTCATAATGACCTGAAAAGTAGCCTACCAAAAATTTGATGAAGAAACAGTGCAAAAATTCTGAAAATAGGCCCTACTTTAACTTTTTTCTGTCATGGCCCATAGACTTAGTGCAGGAGGTCTGAGTGGTGGCCCAGTATGGAATTCTTTCCAAAAACAAATGTAGAAAATGTATTCGAAAAACTATAGCCTCCATTGTGAAGTAGGCCTAATTCATTCATTATCGTGCAGGTACGGTTCCGTCCGTCGTGCACACTGATTTATAGCTTGAGTAACTCCAGCTGACTGCTCCATATTCATTCACATGTAACGCTGGAGGCATAACCTGTTCGTTAGAATGTGGTAGCAAGAGACCCTTAAAAAATGGCCTCTCACAAATTTTTCATTTTCACCTCTAATATCCCACCCCAGAGTTCATTTACATACCTCGTACATTCAGCAGTCATTTACGATTTTTTTTTCGATGTCATCACGTGATGCATACATTTACATAATTAGCAAAACAAAATGGACAACAGCCGTTGGAACTGGCGTTGTTTTACGGACAAGCCACCGAAATCATCAAGATTTTTCACATTTTTTTGTGTGGTCTGTTTCAAGTCGATCATTAGGCTTTCGTAAATGACTGCTGAATGTATGAGGTATTTAAATGAACTCTGGGGTGGGATATTAGAGGTGAAAATGAACAATTTTTGAGAGGCCATTTTTTTAGGGTCTCTTGCTACCACATTCTAACGGACAGGTTATGCCTCCAGCGTTACATGTGAATGAAAATGGAGCATGTCAAATGATTTAGAGTTCGCTATTTTCATTCTCCGTTTTCTACCCGTCGAAATGAGCATTCCAAATTTATGTCTCAGAAAATAAAGCACTGGATTTTCGGTAATCCTTACTTTTAGGACACCTATATTTTGTACGAGTTCTGTTCAAAACTGACTTTTGTAGATGACTGTCCAGTACCAAAGTGACTTTTGCAGGCTAAAGAAGTATTTTTTCTTCAGACAAACTCATGATACTTTGTTACTGTTAGTTATAATTTTGAAAGCACTTTCAAAGAAAATGTGACTTTCCTACCTTTTTTTGCAGTTCGCCATCTTGCTTTTTAAATTTATTTTCTGTTTGTCATCGTCGTCTTTAACCCCTCATAAATCAAAACCCTGCCCTCTTTCTACAAAATCAAACCTGCTGATATTCAAGAGGTGTCATTGCCAAATGTTCAAATGTGTCAATAAATATCAGAATGTCACTTTTGAGTGTCATAGTCAGCTGTTTTGGTGAGTCTTTTAACCTTATATAGGAAAGGGGTCCTAAAAGTAAGGATTACCGGATTTTCAATAGTTAAAGCAACTCTTACAAATAAAAATATCTTGTTCATATCCAACAATATAATGAATTTTCATGGCATACTTTCCCGCGCCGACCCTCGTTGTTGACTGCGGCCATTTTGAATGTTTGTAGCAACTGAAATGTATTCGAGACTGTTTTATGTCTCAATTTCCGTTATACAAAACAGTCGTCGAGTTGTAATTGATTGACGGGGTCAAAGGTGAAACTTGTGGGACACATCAACCTTTGAAACTGGTACCCTTTACTAGGTGATGTCGCGTGTAATCGTACGTAGTCAGACTTTCGAAACCAGCTATTACAGCAGTACAGTAAACATGGCGAGCTCAGAGTGGGAAGAAGTGAAGCGACTCGCAGCAGATTTTCAGCGAATTCAGCTGACCAGCGCTGTACAAAAGTGAGATAATTTGCGAAAGGGATAAAACAAGGGTATTTCTTTGTACGTCTAGAGTATGAAAGTCATTAGTTGCACCGATTTATAAAATGACAGTGATTAACGTTCTGTTTAGTTCAAGGGGGCATGGGTTGGGGGAGGGGACTATGACGAACTGGGGGGCTACATTGTTATTGTTGTGCTCATTCTTGAAAATCACGCAATCTTAAGAATGTGCGCACATTCTTAAGAATGAGCGCCCATTCTTAAGAACGAGCACGCGTTCTTAAGAATGAGCGCTCATTCTTAAGATTGGGTGGGAATATCACGTGCACAATTTATGAATTTTGCCCAATCTTAACAAACATTGCACGACATAATTATGTTAAATGAAATATATAGTGGTTAAAAGGGAAACAATTTATATAAAGAGGAAAGAAAATGTTCTATGCTTCTGTACTCGTATAACTACGATAATTTGAATCAAATTAAACCTGTTATTATTGCTTTTTTCTGCCCACTATGGGAAGTTTTGAATAACGGAGGACTGGGAACTGGTCTGGGAAGTGCTTTGTTTAGGCTAGACAAGTTACAAGTCCCTGTATGTATCATATGCATGCCACGAAAAAAAAAACGATGTCCAGAAGCTGCCAAAATTGCTCTTTTGAGCCTAGATAGAATCCAGCTCTGCGACGTAATGGTGGGGTGTGAACAATAAATTTGTGGCAAATTAAATGGGAAATAGCATTAGCACTATGGGATGTCGCAGTATTCATTCTCATTCTTCACATTCTTCATTCTTACGTCCCTAGTACTTTATGTGTGTATGAACACAGAGGCATTCTACATGCTACCAGAATTTGCAATAAATTAAAAGATCTCCAGCATTGTCCAGTCAAGTTGGCTAATTTGGATTTTGGAAAGAATTCCATATCGTTAGACCCCCTATTTTGACGCACTCGCATTCAAATTTCAATTTGCTTTGGACAACGCGCTCGCATTGCAAGCGTTACCTTCGCCGATTATGGTGACTCGAGGATACATGGACATCATCAGCCTTCAGAAAGCGATAACATGTCCCAAAAAGTCAAATTAAGCAGGGAAAATATTGAGAGAACATTTACTGAGAAAACACTTAGAATTGTTCAGACCAGTCTTTCATACATGTATGTAGCCGTTTGTGCACAGGGGGTCAAATGATGTCCAGCCAGGTATGAAAATCTTTCCCCTTGTTTTTCATCAAATCTGTACATCATGCAGCTATTAATAACATATGTATGTAAGAAGAACAGAACTGCAAAGGCCACAAAGAATGTAGTATCCTGATGCCACTTTACAAATGTATACAAAACATTATCGTCATCTTCTCTTGTTTCTTGGTTAATCTTTCATTTTACAACTAACTTGTGGAAAGAAGTGCCTGTTTTGGGGCAGTCGGTAAATCTGCGCAACAGCTCGATCGCGCTGCACCGTCAGTCGATCGTGCCACCATCGGTCGATTGCACTGCAAATGGTTGATCACCTTTTCTTTGTGATTCACGGCTCTGGAGGATTGTTTTGAAAAAGAGTTCTAAGTAAAGGGATCGACCGATTGCGCAAAGCGTTTTTTTTTGCGATCGAGCGATAGTGCAAGTCCACCCGTCGCATCCAACATCTTGACATCATTATCCCTAAGAGAAATTTTTGGGGAAAAATATTGTTGTGACTGAAATTACAGTTTATCATGTTTATATCAATTTGATAGAGGCCCTGTAGTGATGTACAAGGCGGGTTTGAGGGCCTCTTTTACGTAGACGTATGTACATGGCGAACTGCAATGCCGTGGCAATAATTATATTATATTGGATTGCTTTAAAGAGAATATACAACATTTGCAAACATCGAAAAATAAAACTACCAAGTTTTTACGAAATACCTTACTAGGATGTTGGTAAATGACAGTCTAAAGCATCCTGTAAAATTATGGCACCTGGTGTGAAGTCATTTTCAAGAAAATGGTATTTTTGTATACATTTCCAATCGTGGTCGGCTGACCACCGTTGGAAAAACCTAACTATTTTCAACTACTGCTCCAACTTTACACTTTTTTCAGTCCAAATTTTGTTTGCTATTGGTTACATGTTCATGAACGGGTGCAGGCCAGCTAGACTGGTTCCCTTACCTTACAATTTTTCGGCATCTATAAATTGATCCATTTTATCTTTAGTGGAGTCAAGGAACCAGACTACTGGAACATTTTTGTTTTTCTTGGTTTTTCCAGCATTTCGAACACAAAACTTCAAACGTGTCAGTGTAACAATATTTGATCTATTATATTAACTTCTCAAATAGTTCATTTCTGAAAATTACAGCAAAAGCCAATGATGTACATTTAAGGGGGATACAAGAATATATTGCACAAGCTATTACAATATTGTTATAGCGATTGCAATATATTCTTGTATACCCCGAACAAAAGCCATCCAACATTATTATTATTAGTTATATTAGGCTGACTAGCTTGATCCGCAAGAAATACATTTCAGGACACTGCCTTTATTTCTCAGATTTCGTCGCATTATCGCGCCGCTTGAAGCTGCCGTTGTGGCTGTTGACAACAGTGCGCGTATACCCTGCTAGTGCTGCACGGTGCATCCGCGTGCCGCGCGCTATGCTCTGTTGACTGGTTGACTGTGACTTTCTATGATCTAGATTGTGCGGGAACCAGCAAAAATGCCTGGATGACTGCAATATCAATATTGTTGCAGTCATCCGGGTACTTTATGGACATAATATTGCAGTAATCCACATACTTTTTACGAAAACATACAATAGGCCCCCCAAAAAAGTCTCCGGTTTCTGGTATGGAGCTTGTCCAAAAAGTGGTGCTGCGACGCGGCTGTTTTTTTTTTTTTACCTGACTTTTTTGCTGCAAATGTCGGCTGATGACTGCAAATGGTGCCCGACTAAACTTTGTGCAAATATATGGGAGTCCAGAGAGGCCACATAAAGCTTATTCTCGATCATAACCCCATCTAAAAACACGTTAAAATTGTGCAGCAGCAGGATTCCAGTCAAACCAGTGAGTTTGGCGGTTTTGAGACATCATCTTTCATTGAAAAAAATTTTTTTTTCATTTTGCCGACGCGCATGGCTACGGCGACGCGCGCGCATACCAGAAACCGGAGACTTTTTTTTTGGCCATACACTGATTTATTTTTACCACTCGAAGCCTAATATAAATAATAACCCAATTATGGTATTTTGTACTGATGTTGCCATATTGTATTTCACTCCAGATTATCTGAGCGAAACTGCATTGAGATTGTTAATAAGCTGATTGAGTTGAAACTGATCGAGGTCATCTATACGTTGGATGGCAAGGAGTATCTGACGCCAGCCCAGCTTAGCAAAGAGATACATGATGAACTCATATACCATGGAGGTAATATACAAATAATAAGGGAATAAATGTGTGCTTCGGAGGTTTTTATCACTCTGTTTAAGACCACTTAGAGTCTGGGTGCTGATAATTACCCGAGCCGGAGGCGAGGGTAATTATCAGCACCCAGACTCTAAGTGGTCTTAAACAGAGTGATAAATACCGACGGAGCACATATTTATTCCCATTCATAAATACCTTTTCGCTAAGAAAAAATCATATAATTCGTTCAAAACATCCCGATTTTGTTCAACAAATTCACTTTATGATTTTTGAAACATCCCTCTTGCAAAATAATGGAGTGTTCAGCTGGCGAGTAAGATGTAAACAACCCTTTTATGGAGATTGACGCGCGCGTATCATGTTCTGCGCGATGTCGCGCAGAACGCACCTGGCGCGTTGCGTTTTGAATTTAGAACTTTAAAATTCTGACTCCCTGGTAGTGTTGCGCATGCCTACGTGAGGATTGTGAACGTTCAACCAATGAAACGATAAGAGGCACTGGATTTTTAGGAGTCCACATTTTATTGTGACACTGGAAAAGTGTTTAAGACCAGCTAGCCATGTCTTTATCATCCGTTTAAGACCGGCCACGTGACGGGCTCTCAACCAATAGGAATGCATAAACTGTCTTAGGTATTTATGAATGAATGTTTATGAGTGCAATGGTAAGAATAATTTCATGAGGTGACAGGTGAAATGTTCCATCCCAGGAGGCTAAGCTGAGTGGAATAGCACATTCCATCAGTCACCGAATGAAACTATTCTTTCCATTGCACGAATGTGCAAGTAAATAAATCCTCATCATCTGACTGGTCAGAGCTGCCCATAGTGACCGTGCATGTGGAAATTCTTTACCATGGAATGGAACTTCTATATTTGTGGTGTTGCCAGGTTGTGGGTTGTCTATGTAATAGACTTTCGCCATGGTCTATAATATCGTCACCATTTTCACGAAGAGCCACATATGTCGATTTTGAAGAAAAAGTGTTTTCGAGATGATCGCAAAAGAAGTTTCTCATATTTTAAAACTGCAAAAATTACCACTTTGCAACAACTTTGTGAAGCAAGGAAACATCACACTATTCTGTGTGAGCTGAATTTTTACAGGAACCCAGTAATAAGACTTAATTCAGCAGTTAATTAGTAAAAATTAATTAGTCAAGATATGTGGCTCTTCGTGAAAACGCAAATTCAGGTTTCCGACATATTGGCCCTTTCTGTTCAATGTGTATTTCCATAGGCCCGCGTGAGTACGTGCGCGCAGCTGAAAATGTAACAAAGATATGTGGCCCTTCGTGAAAACGCAAATCTCATTTGACCTACTTTTACGTATTTCCGTGCAAAGGGTTTTGTACGCGTTCAAAGGGCCAAAATGTATGTGGCTCTTCGTGAAAACGCAAAATTCATTTATCGAGATGGTGGCCCCTTGCAACATTAATGTAACTTGGAAATTAATGATGTTTTGCTTACAGAAACATGTCAAAATGGTTAAGTACATTGTTTTAAAGCAAAATATTGAAAAAAAATCAAAATCAAAAAACGGTAATTTTTGATATATGTGGCTCTTCGTGAAAACAGTCTCTCGACCTCTAGATTTAGACCAATCAGCGGGCTCTTTTTATATCGGGTCTTCGGTCATTCACCGTTGTGGCGTCATAGACATTGATAAAAAAAAAACTAGACACAGCAACAATTAGGCTGTGGTCACGTGCTCTTATTGTTACTCGATACGCGCAAGCTTGTTTAGGTTTTTAAAAAAATGCCCGGCCGTAATTGGTGTGTTACAAAACACTGCATTCTAATTGACCAATCAAACAGTTAGTCCTGATTTGGGAATGAAATGGTGGCACGATTTAGTAAAGTCGACTCTGATTGGCTGAGTGCGGGATAACATCAATCTGCATGCCTAGATATCAGACGTTATGCAGAATACTGGGCTTTGGATTTGGTTCTAGCATATTGGTGTTAGGTATGGATACTATTACCAGTATGAGTAAACAAAATAATTCAAAACATCTTTGCATTGTATTAAACACTAAAAGGACTAAATTTGTTCATTATTAAACGTAAGTTAATTTATGCCTCTTTTGTTTTCTCTGCAGGAAGAATCAACTTGGTGGATTTACAACAGGTAAAAATCTGTAGTAAAGTTTATCTTTCTTAATATCATTCTTTGTTGGGGAGTGTGGTCTAATAGTTAAGGTTCATGACTCATGATCAGAGGGTCAGGAGTTCGAATCCAGCTGCTGATCATATGTTTGTGTTCTTGGGCAAGCCACTTCACCCCCATTTGCCTCTCTCCACCCAGGAGTATAAATGGGTACCGGCATTAGCTGGTGAGTAACCTGCGATGGAATGGCATCCCATCCAGAGGGAATAAAAAAAGTGCTTGTAAATTCCCTCGTAAATCAACTGTTCATCCTCCATTTGCTGCACTGTTTGCTTTGGTCCACGATGTGGGAAGACGCGCACTGCCAACCAAGTTAGGAAAAATGAGATAAAAAACATTTCAAACAATGCAAAAACTGGATAGGCATAACACCATAAGGTTTTTCTTATTTTTTTGCTCAATAACAGCTTTAGGTTCTGTGAAGTTTTCTAGGCTGGTTGGAGTAACCAGAAACACAGATATTTTCCTTGGCCCTGTTACATGTCTAGATGAAGCTGTTAATAAATTGATGTTGTCAATGAACATTCATAAATACCTAAGACAGTTTACGCATTCCTATTGGTCGAGAGCCCGTCACGTAGCCGGTCTTAAACGGATGATAAAGACATGGCTAGCTGGTCTTAAACACTTTTCCAGTGTCACAATAAAATGTGGACTCCTAAAAATCCAGTGCCTCTTATCGTTTCATTGGTTGAACGTTCACAATCCTCACATGCGCAACACTACCAGGGAGTCAGAATTTTATAGTTCTAAATTCAAAATGCAACGCGCCAGGTGCGTTCTGCGCGACATCGCGCAGAACATGATACACGCGCGTCAATCTCCACAAAAGGGTTGTTTACATTTTACTTGCCAGCTGAACACTCCATTATTTTGCAAGAGGGATGTTTCAAAAAGCATAAAGTGAATTTGTTGAACAAAATCGGGATGTTTTGAATTATATGATTTTTTTTTACCGAAAAGGTATTTATGAATGGGAATAAATATGTGCTCCGTCGGTATTTATCACTCTGTTTAAGACCACTTAGAGTTTGGGTGCTGATAATTACCCTCGCCTCCGGCTCGGGTAATTATCAGCACCCAGACTCTAAGTGGTCTTAAACAGAGTGATAAAAACCTCCGGAGCACACATTTATTCCCCTATTCAACGTCTTTGTAGTATGTTAGTTTATGAATTTGGAATCAACAAAATTGGGAAACTCAGAAAGTACCCGATAAAAGTTCCACTGAGCGCCTAGTAAATGCTTTTGTTACGTCCCACCTTGACTACTGTAACAGTTTGTTAATAAACTTACCGTAATTTTCGGAATATAAGCCGCGCGGCGTATAAGCCGCAGCATGCAAAAATCTGCAAATTAAGATTTTAGGTCGGCGTATAAGCCGCACCAACCGCAGCAGTTCAATTTTGTAAGGCCTCCAAATTCTAGTCAAAATGCTCTGAACCAGTTCCATTTGCACTACGAAAGCTATAAAAGGGCCACAAATGTTATGTCAAATCATTTACAGTCAATTACTCTTACAAACAAATATGGAAATTGATGATGAGAAATAAAAAACGGGAATTGCTGCCGGCTGGCTCGTCAGTGAGCCTGTGCCGGCGAATGGCATTATTTTCCCCCAGCACTTGAGAGAGTATGCAACCCACCATGTGTTGTCTGACTGGAGCGCTACAAATCCTGCTTTGTGGCAACAGACGCTGAGTTGTTTTGTCCTAAAGGATAAACAAGTCCGTTTTTACAGCAAAACTTATCAAATTGTTGTGATTACTAATGAGTAGTAATGTCAAAACTTCAAGTTGGGATCGTAACTTTCTTCGAAAACAGTCAACACGATGCCGAGATTGACTGGAGCGCTACAAATCCTGCTTTGTGGCAACAGACGCTGAGTTGTTTTGTCCTAAAGGATAAACAAGTCCGTTTTTACAGCAAAACTTATCAAATTGTTGTGATTACTAATGAGTAGTAATGTCAAAACTTCAAGTTGGGATCGTAACTTTCTTCGAAAACAGTCAACACGATGCCGAGATTTTTATGGACGAATCCATTAATTTCGTAGGGGTGGTTTCACCCCTGTTTTGAGTTTTACATCGTTTCTTGAATACATTTCAAGAAAAAAAATTATATTGTGACGTTGAACAACTGATTATCAAATAAAGATATGTTTCAAACTCCATAAAAAGTATTAGTTGTCTTTTTCCTTTTTTTAAACTGGGGAAATATTGGTAATTATTGTTCCCAAGAAAGTGCACCCGTTTATTACCACAAATGGTGTGGTCCATGGGGAATCCATGCAGCATGCATGCAGCATCCGGTTCGTTAGTGTGACATCACCTCCAGCACTTTCTGCACGATTGGAACCGGAAGTTAACGCAGCTCGAGCGGTTGTAGCCAATGAGCGCTAGTAATCAATGGTGGGTGCGCGTGAATGACGTTTTTACTAACGAACCGGATAGGCAGCATCACGTACGGCCGGTTGTCGATGTCCAAAGGGACAGCTTTCACTAGCCGTACTTTTTACCACTCGGCATCTTTTTGTGGGACGTGCTTTCGATTTGTTAATGACTTTCTTAATTGATATTTATTTCAACAACACATCTCTTCTTGTACCAGTACATTAAATACACATGTAAATGTCAGTTTTATTCTTCAAGTCTCGGCGTATAAGCCGCCCTGTGTATAAGCCGCAGTAAACATTTTCATGGGCAAATTCAACGTATAAGCCGCGGCTTATATTCCGAAAATTACGGTACTCATTTGTCAGCACTTCAACATATCCAGAACACAGCAGCTCGTCTCGTCACACGCACGAGGAAACACAAACACATAACCCCAATCCTTCGTGCCCTACACTTGCTCCCCATTCCACAACGCATCAAATTCAAGATCCTCCTTCTCACTTAGGGACCGTGACCATTCAGCCCTGGTATGAAAAGGGCCCCCCGGTACCTCGTCAGGGCCAGTCCGGTCTTCAGCCCAGTCTCGTCCGGTACATGGTCCTATCTGTGCCGACGAAAGTGTTCTATTTTTTCGCGCTGAGAGATGAAAACCACAAGCAGGTTTCTTCTGGGATATATTACATGTGTCAATACTTGCAAACAATAGACCCCAGGATAGAGGAGTTCCTGATTAGCAACCGGACCATCTCCTGGGCCGGTAGCTGGGACGGTACGAAAGGACTTCTTGGGAGGGGACGAGCTTACCGGGGGGCCCTTTTCATACCGGGGCTGAATGGTCACTGTCCCTTACAAGGCTCGGAACGGACTAGCACCCTCATACATCAAGGAACTCATCACACCCAAACTGCAAACCTCTTCCATCCATCTCCGCTCATCACCCACAGCACACTTGCAACTTGCTCCCGGTCCCCGCACCCATACTCGATACGGCAATCGAGCCTTCTCCGTCTGTGCTCCCAAACTTTGGATCAATCTCCCTATTGTCATACGGAATTCCCAAACTCTGGACACTTTCAAAACTAGATTGAAAACACACCTATTCAACTCAACTTGACTCACTATGCCACTTTTCTTTAGTTTAGGCCAAAAAAAAAGTCTCCGGTTTCTGGTATGCGCGCCCGTCGCCGTAGCCATGCGCGTCGGCAAAATGAAAAAGTTTTTTTTTTTCAATAAAAGATGATGTCTCAAAACCGCCAAACTCACTGGTTTGACTGGAATCCTGCTGCTGCACAATTTTAACGTGTTTTTAGATGGGGTTATGATCGAGAATAAGTTTTATGTGGCCTCTCCGGACTCCCATACATTTGCACTAAGTTTAGTCGGGCACCATTTGCAGTCATCAGCCGACATTTGAAGCAAAAAAGACAGGTAAAAAAAAAAAAAAGCCGCGTCACCGCACCACTTTTTGGGCAAGCTCCATACCAGAAACCGAAGACTTTTTTTTTGGCCTTAGGCTATTTCATGTTTTTGTTAATACCTGTATTTATGTACTATATACTTCGTTTTGTTTTTGTTTAATTAAATATTTTGAAACACCACGTATGAAGCACTATATAAATGTTGATAATTATTATCATTTGTAGATTCTTGGTGTTGACTTTGCTCACATTGAGGCCAAAGCCAATGAACTCATCAAGCATGAACGGTCACTTCACCTGGTACTTGGCCAGCTGGTTACAAGGTATCGTAGCCTAGGCCCCTTTTTTACATAACTTGTATGACAGATTTTTTAGGTCCCGAAGATGGGCGGGTAGCAGAAAAAAAATTCCAATGGGTGGGCTGGGGTCACCCATTGAAGAGCCCAGTCCTACATGGTACAGTCTAGCTAAGATGAAAGCGCTCAGACAAACTATGATGTTGTTATTCCATATAAGGCCAAAAAAAAAAAAATATTTGGTCTCTGGTCAGACCAAAGTTCCGGAATTGACGCGGCGACGCGGCTTTTTTTTTTTTTTTTTGCTTTTTTTTTTTTTTTCAAGCTTGGATTGTACAGACAAGGTGGGGTACTATTTTGCTTTTTTGGTGTCCTCATGTACATTAGTGTCCTCCATAATTTGCCTTGGTGCTCTCGATCATTTGCCATGGCGCAATTTCCCATTCCTTGGTGCTCTTTGGTAAAAAAAATTGAGGAGGTGCGGCAATAGAGGGCGCTGTTGGAGCTACCGCGGAACATTTTGGGGAAAAAAAAGATTGACGCGCATGATTAAAATCGACGCGCGCGCTGACCAGAGACCGACTTATTTTTTTTTGGCCTTACTGCCCAAATATCATCAAAACTTGCCCACAAAATTATCAAAACTTGCTTTGATTTAAGTAAATTACATTTTTTTCTGAAAAATGAAGGAAAATTTGGCACAGCCATCACGGTCTGTGCAGTGCGATATCAGTATGCTTGAAATGTCACCCCCCATTCTTATTGCCCCGCCCCCTTATAGAGACTACATGGACCGACTGTCCGAGGACATCAATGACCAGTTACAGGAAGCTGGTCAGGTGACCATTGCAGAGTTAACCAAGTCACATGACCTGCCAGCAAGCTTCCTGTCAGAGGTAACAATTTGACTTTTTGTCTTATCAAACCTTAATCATTTCACAATGATTGTAAAACAGAGATTAATTTCCATTCAATTGCTGAAGAATCTTTTCTTGATTAAAGGTCAGTCACGTTAACGTGGCAAACATTGACTAACAAGCTGATTTACCCGATCATAGATCGGGTAGGGCGTAGTGTTGGGGATGAAAATGTGGGGAGTTAAATGTAAATGGGGGTTAGTTGAGAAGACATGCAGTTATAGAAAAGCAATTTTTTGTGGTGTGATCTGAGGCAATTTCTGACCACTAAAACCAATTAGAGCAAAAGATCATCTTTTAAACATCATTTTTGAGCTTGGGGTAATTGAATCAGCTACACGGTATTCTGAGCAATAGAATCATTATAGTAGGCTACCATTTTTACAGTAGGCGATCCGTTTTGTCGATTTTTTGTGACTGCGTTTAAGATCGCGATATTTGAAGCAATGCATCGCTCCTTCGTTGATCCCAAACAGGCCCCCGAAATTATAACGCGACACTGAATTATACGTGGCGGGCAGCGAACTCACAACGCTCAGCCTTGGTGGTGGAAGCATGGAGCTGTAAACACATTATGGAAGCAACAGCACTCTATCACACGACGTCACATGCTTGCGCTTCAAATAGCGAGCACCGTAGACCCAACCTCGTTTCCAGGGTGTGGAGCAGGCTGCAGTACGCGTTGCCATCGACAGTTTTACGCATAGCCGGGAAGTACCACGCGGTATAGACTTTCGATTGGTCATACCGTGCAAGGCATACTAATGTGTAGTCCTTCTGAGTATTCGTTGCACTCGGCGCAGGGGCGGCAAGCAAAGCACAGGAAAGAATAGGGACACTTGGTGGCCACACACCATGGAGAAGAAATATTTTGCCAAGGTCACCCCATACTACCGTTTGGTGAACGCTTTAGCAGAACGGCCGAGTAGAACACGTAAACGAAACCCCTACGTTGACCTCGCTGACCTCGCACAGTCTAGACACGCAGAAAAGCCAGCCCTGGGGGCAGCCAGGCAGTCAACGTGAAAGCACACACGACGGCAAATTCCTGCGCAAAACGCAGTCACGAAAAATTGACGAAACGGATCGCCGGTCCGTACCGGAAAATCAGGACGACCCGAAGTGTCCGACCCGGACTATTCCAACTGGGAACACTGTATGTTCCCCCATGTCCACATGGAATAACTACTGGAACTTCCTGAGATTTGAAAGGCTCTTTTATAATGCCTATTCTGATGCTGTCTGAAGTTGCGGCACTTCAAGTTTTTCTCCTGTCCCCCAGTGTTTCCTTCGCTGTTGAAGGAGAGAGTGAAATTTTGGTTCTGTGCACACAGGTGGCCCATGGCATTATGACAAACTGGAAAGCTCTCAGAGAGCGCAAACCTCCACCAAGCTTGAACAATTCCCCGCCATATTGTCAGTACACCCAAAAGAAATACACACATATCCAATGGACTTCCATATTTTATTGCACAATGGAAATGTCAACAGGATTGCTCATATTCTGAATTTATCGAAAAATAGCAATGTTGGCCGCTTTATATTGTGTAAGACAGTGTAAGTTATCAATAAAATAAATCCTTAAAGGGAATTTACAACATTTGCAAACATCGAAAAATAAAACTACCAAGTTTTTACGAAATACCTTACTAGGATGTTGGTAAATGACAGTTTCAAGTATCTTGTAAAATTATGGCACCTGATGTGAAGTCATTTTCAAGAAAATGGCATTTTTGTATACATTTCCAATGGTGGTCGGCCGACCAGCGTTGGAAAAACCTAACTATTTTTCAACTACTGTTTCAAATTTACCATTTTTTCAGTCCAAATTTTGTTTTGCTATTGGTCACATGTTCATAAACGGGTGCAGGCCAGCTAGACTGGTTCCCTTGCCTTACAATTTTCCATCATCTAAAAATTGATCCATTTTATCTTTTGTGGATTCAGGGAACCAGACTACTTTAACATTTTTGTTTTTCTTGGTTTTTCCAACCTTTTCGAACACAACACTTCCAAAATGTCAGTGTAACAATATTCGATGTAACCCTTCAAATAGTTCATTTCTGAAAATTACAGCAAAAGCCAATGATGTACATTCCCTTTAAACTCAAATATTTTGTAGTCTACATATATATGCCTGTGTCAGTCTACCTCTCGATCCACTCCCCCGTTGTATAAAATGGCTTAGTCCATTGACTTGTGCAGTTAGATTTACGTGGGTGATAAGGCATACATAATTGGTTTTGTACACAGAGGTTCATGGTCTAAAATGGTGAAGAATCCTATAAAAAAAAACTCCTACATCCATACCCAGATCTGAATCACTTCCAAAATCTAATCGATTTGTGCTTGTACCAAGGACCACCCCTAAATTTTTTTAATGAAACTTCGTCCATAGCTTTTGGACAAACCAACACCAATGAAAAAATAACCTCCTTAGTGAGGTAACTATAAGCCACTGTGTCATGATAGTGGTTGTTTTATTTACAACTGCTCTTGCATTACTTGGGCCTTAGCTTTTGAAAATCAGATATTATTTTGATTACCCCCCAAAAAACATTTCTTTGCGGGTGTAGAGTCTGGCGCTACCACTGGCTGTATGCTTACAAAATATTAACATATGTAAACAACTTTGACAGAACATACACATATGAAACAGTTCATAAAATGTCCTTCCTGTGTATTCTGTATATTTGTAGATGATTGAGGCTCGTCTTGGAACTATAGTACAGGGACAGATGGATGTATATGACCAGGGCGTGTTCTTCACCCAAGCGTTCATTGACAGACACACTGCTCAGATACGCGGTGCCTTCAGTGCTATCACAAAGTAAGTCAGTTTAGTGAAATTCTTGTGGGCCAGCAAACTAGTTGGGCAATTCCACGCTAACTTCCCGTTACATTTAATGGGGTGTCTTCAGTCAAGTCTGTGATGTTATTCTATAAAGTCAAAGTATTTAGGGATTTTTCTCACAGAAGATCCCTTGAAGTAAAGTGACTATTGCTAGGTTCACACATTTCCGATTTTTAAGCCGAATCTCAACGAATAGCAATTCTTGCGTAAAACGGGTAATGGTTCTTGCCTGCCTTGGGAGCACAGCCCTGACACAACAATTCCATTTCCAGCAACGAAAGTTAATTGGTGTATATTGGTACTCTTCTGTGGTTCTATAAATAACAACTCTGGAGTTTTCAAATTTGGGGTTTTATTTCTATGCAGGCCAACACCAGTTATAACCATTCTCAACCAGTTCAAATTTCCGGAGAAATTATTCTTTGGTAAGTTGTAAGATTTCCAAGGATTGAAAGTTATTGAATAGGTAAAGTATCTTTAGATGCAATGATATCATTGTTCATTTTTCTGTGATTGAGATTTGAAAAAAAGTTAACCCCTACCCAGTCAAGGTAATATCGATAACAGAAATTGACCACTTAAAGCCTGCCGCATTTTACCAGTTTACGGATCATCGGTACTTTTTCTTTTGCACTGTTGTGGACACCACTACGTTACTGGTCATCATATGACCAGTCACATGATGACCAGTCACATGATGACCAGTCACATGATGACAAAATGGTAGCAGTCAATTTTGAATCATGTGACATCCTTCATGAATCTGATTGGTTAACATAAATATCGCGTCTGGTGAAACCAGAGTGCTGCCCGCACACCTTTTCAGGCGACATCAGATCAAGTGAAATCGGATGTGAAAAAAAGAACATGTTTGATGTCATTTGGTCACCTGATGTACGGTCAGATCACTCCGATTTTTCAGCACACACCTCTCAGATGTGTTTATATAACTGACATACAGATCCTTGTCATCTGATTGGTGGAACGCACATCACATCACTGCCGTTCACGCCGGGGCTCAAAAAGTCCCATTGATTTCGGTCTCCCCAATACCGCATTGTTTGTTAAGTCATGCAGAAATCACTAGAGTATGAGAAATGCACCTACAAGTTGAAAACTTACTTTTCTCCACCCACATGTATAGATTTTCAGCATCGAGGAGTGATTAAAATCAAAATCGTTTTGTGTAAAGTTATTTTCTTGAACTACATTTACTCTTTCATAATGATGTAAAATTTAAGGCCATATGAGCAAATTCAGCAAGTTATGCCTGTGTTTTTTTTTTATCTGTTCCCATTTATGAAACTGCAAGCCATTTCATAACATGACCACATGGCACTCCATACCTCAAATTGTGCATACTTCTGAAGCATTTGTCAAAACACTATGGAAAACTGCACCATTAGAACGGTCTGGAAATACTCATTCAGCTGGTATATGGCTGATGTATGGGGGGGCAAAACATACCAACGAGCCAGCTTGTTGAAAATGACTGAATGCATCTGCTACATTCATGCTCAGTGTCAGATTTCCTTATCTACTAAAGTCGTCCATGTTTAGCAGGTTACGAATCCCTGCCAAGCAAACATGTTAATTTTTTTTCTGGCAAGCTTTCTAACAGCACTGAGCATACAATTATGTCAAGGCAGGGCAAATCCTAATATTAAAAAAAAATGTAAGTTTAAGGAATTTAAGTACCCAGAAATAATTGCACCAAGTGATATTTCTACAGGTTGCCTTCAAAAGTTGGTGGACAAGGGTCGTCTGAATGGCTCCATTATTGGGGGCCGTCAGGATAAAGCCGTGTACGTTCCTGACCTGTACGCCAAGACGCAGAATGAATGGGTGGACTCCTTCCATGCTCAGAACGGGTACCTTGGTAAGTCCAGTATGAGCTTTATTCACGAGTCGGCCATATTAAATTGAAAGTGAGGTAAAATCTTCATTTTTTGAACTTGCAAGTAGAAATGAAAGCAACAAAATAAAGTTAATTAATACGAGTCTGTTCTGATGAATAATTTAAAATTTGTGATCAAACATACCCTAATGTTTTAAGCTACATTAAAAAAAGAATGAAAAGAAATAGTCTGGCACCGTCCCATTCAACGATTCACAATTTATATAACACATTCAGGGAACATGACCCAAAATGGCTTCCTCGTGAAAAAGTCCAAAGGGCTGAGTTGAATTTTTCAAATATTTGATCATCCACCAAGTGTCTGAATGGCATTTTTTTCAATAAAGATATTCAAAAGATGTGAGGGGTCTCGAGGAGATGATGGAAAAAGTCCACAATGTTATTTTAATTGTGTAAGTTGTGCGATTTCAGTTTGCCAAATGCCACACTTTTGTCGAAATCCACTTTATTATAGGTCACATGGCATGCCTGACTGCTGGTCATGTCATCGGAAAAATTTATGATACATGTACCTAGCATAGCTGAGCATACGCATGATGTCAATAGCTGGCATGTGCCCACTAACGGATGTATTTCTTGAAAGTAAACCATTCTTTCAATTGATTGTTATAAAGCCAGGCGATCATTGGAAAATGATGGAAAATTCCTCTTTTCTTGAAAATAACAGCATACGATACGGGCACTACGTTATCACAGGATAGTTTAATTAGTTGCATCCAAGTATGCAATTTTTGCAAACGTTTTCCACTGCCTTTAACGAGATTGGGTTCCTTACAAAGAGAAGCTTTAGAGAGATCATGTTCCTTGCGAATTATGTCACCTAACAGACTTTATCTCTCGACAGAATATGATGCTCTTGCTAGACTAGGCATCACAGATGCCAAACCTTACATCAAGAGACGCTTCAAAGCTGAGAATCTTCTGTTTTTGTCGTCTTGCTGCGTGGGTAGTCAACTCCGCGATAGGGTGGAAGCCAGCATAGATGAGGCATTGTCTACTGGATCGTGGATAGATGTCACGGTAAGGGGCAATTTAAGATTCAATTTGGTCATTTGAATTAAATAATAATACCGGAGTCTCATATAGCGCACTTATCTACTAACAATTAGGTATTCAAGGCGCTGGTAATTATGTGTAATTAAAGACAGGTAAATGAAGTTTATATAAAAAATATGAGACCCATTATTTAGCACCTTTATAGTGGTTTACAAGGTGCTGCGGCGCATTAAGCAGTCACTGCCAGAAACACCGGGGCAAACCCCTTCTCTTAGCGATAAGTGTTACTGGGTTCTTAAACGTGCATTACACAACACACGGGACCTATGGCTTTATGTCCCATCCGAAGGACGAAGTAATAATGGTAAAGTGCCTTGCTCAAGAACACAAGCAACGTGTTCCCACGGTCAGGATTTGAACCCATGTACCTCAGCACACAAGTCGAACACTGTAACCATTGCACCACAGCACCCCACGAATTCAGTTTACTTGTTTCATCACAAAAGTGAAATATATCTTTCCATTGCACAACAAAAACACACATGTATAGGTAAGTTATAATAAGGGAATAAAAGTGTGCTTGGCCAGTTTTGAACAAGTACGTTTAAAACAGGCTGGGGGCCTTGGATGCAGATAATGGCCCTTTCAGTCAAAAAAGTAGAAACAAGTCAAAAATTATAAATTTCCAACGATTTTGTCCAACAATTCACTCCATGTTTTGTGAAACACCCCTCTAGCTATGTTTATGGTATATGCCTCAGGTGAGTGGTACTAAAAAATCTCCTTATATGGAGATTGGCGCATGCGTGGCACGTACAGCGTGATGTGGCACAGAACGCAGCAGTGCCGGTGTAGTGTGAATTTAGGACTATGAAATATGGACTCATTGGTAGTATTGCGCTTGCCTAAGTTAAGATAATTGGGAGAGTGACTGGTTCAACCAAAAGAGTAAAAGGGACCAGATTTCATAGGAGTCCTAATTTCATGTGACTCCGGGAAAAAAAAGGTGTTTAAAAACCAGTCGGTATCTCATCAACCGTTTAAAACCACCCACAAAGTCTGTCGACCAGTAGGAATGCGTAAACTGTCTCAGGCAGTTATGAATACAGGAAAATCACAGAAACATTAAAATATCATTTGTTTTAATAAAGTTTACACCCAAAAAAAGTTGAAAAGGTTACAAATAGTATCCAGGACATACAGTATCTACAGATGAATGACTAGGTTGAGTTTGATTAATTTAGTAAGATTTGGTTTCATTGAAATGACTTTGACTTTCTCTGAAACCTATTTTTACTGGTAACCTTTAAGATTTTTTTTTTCAATTTTCGTTTTGTCGTTTACAGTTTATTTGCCTGTTATAACAAGTTGTATGTAGTTTTTTTTTTCTGTTTGATTAAGATGTAATGCTTTTGCCAATTTGGAAAAGGAATTTCAGATAATGTCACATAAGAAAAAGCTGATCTGAAACACACTAAGCACATAATGCAAAAATTTTCAAAACACAATCACAAAGTAATGAGTTATAGGTATATAGGATCATTTTTTTGAGCCAGCAGGCACACAATTTTAAAGTCACCTTCTATGGTTGTTTCCTTCCAAGCGACACCATTTCAAGCGGAATAATTTCACAGGGTATTTGATAACCATCCCTTTCTTCACTTTGAGCAATTTTTTCATCATTTCAATTTGTTCACGGGGATCCCACAGAAAAGCCACATGCACAGATCAGAAACGCTCAGTGAAGCCATGAACAGCTTTAGTCATTGCTTGGATACGGTCGGCACGATGAAGAACAACCAGGCATAACGGGTTCAGAATTACAGTTGGTATGATCGTCAAAATCATGACTGCACAACCAAACATTGTCACACTGTCTATATCCTGGTGCAAATTTGCCTTGTGGCCAACCTTCCAAAAGCTCTTCCCACTCATCAAAATTATATCCTGCTTCGAACTGTGGTACATTACCCAAATATTGCGATCGCTGAATCACTGAAATTAGCTATACAGGTTATCAATGTGAGCAAAAGATACACCACTAAAATCTACTAGTACTTCACTATACTCAAAAGTATGCATACCAAATACATTGAACCATAACAGTGCGCAACGCAAATGTACGTGTGTAGCCTACTATTGTACATGTGTACTATCAACACTAATATCACAACAGTTTTGACACCTTATGCTTTCAAGATCAACACTGACTTTCACTACCATATGCCTATGCAAGACCTTTTTTACACAAGAACTCTAGCATAACATGAATTAAAACTCTGTACGTGCACATGTAGGTCGGACTATATGCATATCACATAGCATTACATTAGCAACAGCAAAACACTTTTTTTTCAAACCTACTTCAACATGTTCAAGTTTCTTGCAGGTGGATGCACTGTCCAGTTCCTTTAAATCAGTTTTGGCTGCGGCGTTTGATCAGTGTTCAACAGTTCAAAGGCTGTGGGCTTGCAGGCAGGCAGTAAATTTCCATCCTGGTTTCAGACATCCAACTTTTTCTCGGATCAGCTGATTTCCACGTTTTTCACTACACTTATGCCATTAAGAATTGAAAACACTGTACAAAGTCTTGTAAAGTTGGGAGTTTCCTCATTTTTTGTTTCTTCCAAGTTGCATGCCTGTGGTTTAGACTGGCTCAGTATGGACACGGCGAACATGCTGGCTTTCCTCGCGAATTGGGAATTTGTACAGGTACGCGTTGATACAAACAATGTTCCGTGAACAATAAAACAAAGTTAAAATGTCAATTTGGGCTTGCAGCAATATTCCATATCTGGTGGAGATCCATGTGCATTTGCGATTTTTCACGGCAAGAACGCTGGCTGTCGATCCCAGTCTGACGTTAGCATAGCAACGTTCCATGGGCGCTGCCATCTTGGATTCATATCGTTCGGTTTTGATCCCTGGCAATACACGTCCATCTCGCCGGCAATTTTTGTTTTGTTGTCGACTCCCGCAAATCCTGTCTCGTGCTCGGCAGGTAGGCCTGGTTTGTAGCTGCAATTAGGACTGCAATGACGGCTCAAATCGTCCCGCTCCGGCATCGTCTGGTTCCTGGCCTGGACTTGATCGGCTTGCCTGGAAATGGCTGGACTACACATCGGCTCTATGGCGGGGTTGTTGTATTGCAAGCACTACAAGGGGCGCGTACACGCACATGTAACGTGTTGTGCATCGGCGTTGCTGTGTGTGGCTAGTTTAATACACAGCACGTTGTTCAGTGTCTGCTGTACAGACTGTATACGACAAAGCGCGTGTATATTGCGCATGGGCGTCTCCACGGTGATCATGTGCGGCGTCATGACCAGCCGAGTCACCTCACACTACATGACTTTTCTGATGCTCGAAAAGCGGTGATCCAGTGCTCAACATTTTCAAGAGTTATCCCATCCTTGCCAGAAATTGTCGTGTCCTTGGGGTAACTCTACAACTCAATAATTGACACGGAGACTCTGATAAATTTCAGAAAGGGCCGAAAGTGCGCAACTATGTTGTCACACTATCACTTGAACAAGAGAGAGCAAGTACTGGAACTTTCCATACAGACGGGCGCGCGTGCATGCGCATTGATAAGAACATTAGTAGTCTACTAGTCTTAGTTCAAGTCCATACACAACCTCATACCACATCAAGATGTGCTCAAACTTCCACCCACCTGGAGATTGTTGTTGTTGTGTGATTGTTTTAGCCAGCTCTGCAAATTGTCACGTTGTTCATTTTTTATTTTATTTTTTTATTTATTTACGTCATCTTTAGTGAGGGTAGCTCCGATCAGTGCAGGGCACTGCTTTCCATGGAGGCCCTCAATATGAGAAATATGAGACCCATTATGTAGCACCTTTAAGGGTTACAAGGTGCTGCGGCGCATATTGCAGCCACTGCCAGAAACACCGGGGCAAACCCCTTCTCTTAGCGATAAGTGTTACTGGGGTCTTTAACGTGCATTACACAACACATGGGACCTACGGCTTTACGTCCCATCCGAAGGACGAAGCAATAATGGTTAAGTGCCTTGCTCAAGGGCACACGTGTCCGGGCCCGGGCTCGAACCCATGAGATTGCTGCTTACAGTTTTCATCAGTAGCATCAGTAGCATTGCTGTGTGAAGCAGTTTTGTGAAATTGAATACTGGTTATTTTGTGATTTTTAGCAACAGTGGCGTGAGGCAAGCAAGCCACGTAGTGTTTGTCGTAGTTCCCTGTTCCGCCAGTAATAGATGACCACATCCAACCAGCCACTAGTAACTACTGCAGTTTGTGCCCAGAGGGAGAAAGAGTTCGAGTATGAAACACGGCCTGCCAACAGCAAGATATAAAAGACGACTTGGGGCATCCAGCAGATGCAGGCAGATCCTGTTATGATGAGCACAGTAGTAGCAGACTTGGTGCTGATTGGTTGAACAGCATTCTGTCCCTCCTGAGGGTTGCCTAGGTGATTCTGAGCTGCGATGCGTCGCGCCTGGCGTCTAGCAACTGTCAGAATGCGCATGTACATTGTCACGATTATCATAAGCGATATCATGATAACAGAAACATAAATGACAGGGCACAACTTACACGATGGCCAGCACTGATTGTTAATAACAATTTGTCCTTTATACACACCCAGCACAATGATATAAAATAGAGATGTCAACAACCATAAGATAGCAACGATGACCTTTGACCTAGTTGGGGACATTAAAATGGGGTAGCGCAATGCATGAATGATGGCAACAAATCGGTCAGTTGTTAACAAGAGAAGAGACATGAGACTTAGTGTAGAAAACAATGAAATGACTATTTCTATTAACGTGCACATGAAATCCCCAACCAGCCATGTTGTAGGAAAGGCCAACATCAGTGTAGAGATCCCATAGATAATCCCCATGCACAGATCAGAAATGCTCAGTGAAGCCATGAATATCTTGGTCGTTGCTTGGATACCGTCAGCACGACGAAGAACAACCAGGCATAACGGGTTCAGAATTGCAGTTAAAATGATGCTCAAAATCATGACTACAT